ACTTTACGAGTGAGCTTATGTTGTCGAAAATGTGGGCACGCGGCGTCTTTACAGTATACTTGCACTGACCGGCAGTTACGCTTGATGGAGAGCGAAGTGACTTTACGAATGAGCATCGCCTCATGGCGCGTTGCGCTTAAATGTGCATGCGGCGTCTTCAGCGCCGGCAACAGTGTCGATGCGTGTCCCTTCCAGAAATTTTCCTTTGGCGTGAGAAAACGAAGCTTCTAGAAGTTTCGAAGGCGTCCCTTTTTTGTGAGTGCTGGCAGTAAATAATATTTCAAATCGTAAACTTGCTCGGACTTGCCGAGTTTTGTTTGTAAACATTTTCTCGAGTGCCCGCCTCGGTCCGCACGTGCGGATCAGCCTAGGCGCACGTGGTGGCCAGCCTTGCTGCACGCGCGGTCAGTCTAGGCGCACATGCGGTACGCCGGGCTGCGTAAATGACCTTTCTTTTGTTTGAAATTCATGGGACTGCTTCAATCCCGAACAGTACGAATCGAAGTAGCGGATCATATTATTATAATTGTTCTCATTAACGTAACAGTTGTTAGTTGATAGGATACCTCTGTATTGTTTTCGTCAATCCACAAAATTCTTTGAAGATCTCAGTCATCTTTGTGTACTATTATCTGTCGATACATTTTAGTAATATCGGTCGCAAATAAATATTGTTGCCTGCTAATCCAAATTAAAACGTCTTAAATGTCGGGATTCAAGTTGGGTCCAGTATGCATAATATCATTGAGAGAAAGTCCTGAAGTCTACTTTTTAGAACCATTGAATACCACGCTTAATTTGGTAGTAGTGTTGTCAAGTTTGAGTACACCGTGGTGTGACAAGTAGTATTGAACTTGATGACTGGAAACTGGAGGAGCATGTCTCATATGGTCAAGGTTCTCATATTCGGTCATGAATTGTTGGTATTGTTGATATTCTTCTGGTCTTGAGAATTTTTTTCAACAGTCTCTGTAAAAAGCGACGCGCTGTTTCGTATGTGTTCCAAGATTATCTGCGGGGGATGTGAGCGGGAATCGAACTATGCATTTTCCGCTTGAAGTGCATGAGCAGGTTTTCTTATAATGTTCTTCGCACTGTTTCTCTTCTGGCGTGTACTTGATCGCATCGTCTGAATGTACCTCTTCCAAAATCCAAAATTTTGTCAGCAGCTCTTGCAGTGTGTCTTCGTCATCATGCCAGGATACATGAAATTCTGTGACCATAAAGTGTTGGTTGGAGGTTGCTGGTCCCAGCACAAACCATCCAAAGATGGACAATTGACCCATTGGACATGCGGAGAGTCGGAGATGACTTGAGGCTTTTTTTGTCCATACATGTCAGCTCCCAGAATGATGTCTACTGCTCGAGGTACAAAATATTGTGGGTCTGCTAAGGGTAGTCCTTTCAGATGTTACCAATCATGTGACGCGCGTTCTTAGGAGGGTATTACTGCGGTCAATGACTTGAGGATGTGAGCCTGTATCGTAATAATTGCATCAGAATGTATCGAATGAAGTGTTAATGATACAACACCTTGAGTTTTGAATGAGAGTTCAGAGCCTGTATGAATATTTTGTCGACTAATCGAAGTTCTGCAATGGCTGTGGCTAGTAATGACAAATTTTCCTGACTGGTTTCGACGATTAGCAATGGGGTTATCGTCGGGTTGTAGCAACGTGTTATGGTTCTTATGGTATTTTTTGCATCTATTCTGTCCTCTGCAGGAGTCAACGTCGTGATGCCGTAAACAATTTACACATAGTTCTTATTCTACTACAAGATTTCTTTTGTCTACGTTTGACATGTTTCTAAATTGTTCGCAATAGAAAATCATATGTGTTCGAAATTGTACGAACGGTCCTTGCCAATGAAACATCTGGCAAAACAACATCGTAAGTTTGTCGTTTTAGATTTCGGAAATTCCTTGCTCACAACCATCTAGTAATAGTGTCGTAAAACATCTGTCAAAACAAGATGATAAACTCGGGAAAAGCCAACTCATTAGGCATCTGTACGAATTCGCTCCACTCGGTAACTACATTCAAAGCGGTATGTACTGACCCTTCCCTTCCCTCTGTCTACCAGTTATCATACTGTCGCCAGATGCGTCAGAGGTTGCGAGAGCTCTTCTTGCCGTGAAGACCAAGAAACGAAAGGAAGGACAGGAGACGTATCCCTTATCGGAGCCCGAAGACAAGTGCCAGTTGAGGTCCTCATCAAGAAGCGAAAAAACCCTCTACTGAGTTTACTAGTAGACTTCGTAAGTAGTATCACTACGACGATAATCAACTTACGCCAGTTGATGCGCGTCTTGCCGGCCTACCCTAACCTTAGCTCAAGTCTGATGCTTATGAATCAACTCAGCGCGCCATTCAACGCTCATAGCAGACGCAACACGTAACAGTTTTCGTCACGAGGTAAGAGCCTTACAAACTCTTACTTCCCAAGAAACAACTATTGCAGTACGCCAATACCAGGACTAAGGTACGCTTGCTACGACCCAGGTATATTCTCAACGAACAACAGTTGCGTATGTCGCGCAACTTTATAAACCATAACCTCAACTACATTATAAACCATAACCTCAACTAAGCACGTGCTCACATGAACAATGCGAGTGTCGACGAGCCAATCTTCGCACCATTGTGCGCTCATATTTGAACCATCACGCTGCATCACATCAGTGTACGTTTGCCATAACAAACGCATTAATTCACCACAAGAGTACAACAATTGATAATAGTATTATTAGTCAACGCCCTGTAATCGGACAATGACAGAATACACAGCATACACACCAGATATATTTACATTGAATTATTATAATATCCCTTCCACTTTGACCTTACATCGGTATATCCCTCAATTTATATCCCTTGAACCGGTCTTGGTAAAACAAGCCGGAACGGCCAGTACATTTTGTACAGTATGGTTTGCGTGGCAACATGAGCACTCGTTTGTTTTGTCTTGAGCTGTAGAACGACTTGACAGAGGTTTCTTTACAGATGTCTGGTAACAGTTGGTGTTCGGATTTAAAGGGGTTAGCTTTTGGCTCGAACTGCCAATTCAATAGTTCAGTGGATTAGTCTCTCGGCAGGATAATTTTTAAAGGAAATCAATAACGGACAAGGCTGAAAAATATAATATATTTATTTTAAAACAAGGTTTAATGAGTGTAAACAATTATAATAATATTGCACTGTTGTGTAGAAATAAATAATTCTGTTGGATTATTCAAAAGATGTGTTCTTGTAATTCTTATGCTATGAAAGCGTCTATGGATATTACTGTGTTGCTTTGAGGTTATGCTGATGTTGTCAATGTCAGCTGATGTCGTCAGTCAATCATGCTTGTGAGGCAGCATGAGAAGATGGTAGTTGAATCAAGTATGCTTGATTGATGAATAGCTATACTTGATGTGGTGTTAGATCTTAAATGGAATTTATTATGTAATCAATTATGTCTTTAATTATGTAAAGGGGACAGCAGTAGAATCTAGTCACAGGAAAAACAATTAGAAGTAGTATTTCTAATTCGTGGAGGATTTGATAATCCGTATCTGTAGAGTCTATTAGTCGATCTGTGTTGGTCATGTGTAACCAATGTGTGTGAACCACAGTGACTCTTGCGTCAGCTGTTCAGGGCCTGCACGGCTCCGAAGTGTTCTTCGGACGAGCGCTAGTGTGCCCTGTTTGTGCTAGCGGGCCTGTACGATGTCGAACGGTTAGTTCGAGAGAGCGTAAGTGTGCCCTGTGTGTGCTAGCGGGCCTGAATTTTTATTTAATAAATATTTTTAACGACTATTTATAATCGAACAATTATATATTTGTATTTGTTTTATAAATACTACATATAATATTTAATTCTACTGGAATTTTAATAATTATATTTTAAATATATTTTTGAAAATTTTTTTATATATTTTAAGTCTATTGTATATTTAAAATAATTAAAAAGAATTATAATAAAATATTTTTTTATAAGTTAATGACAATTATTATTATTTATTACAATACCTTGTACAACTACAAGAAGAATTGCATACATTTTCAAGGCCAAATAACGATAGACTTTAATGAAAAAAAGTATACGTTTTGTTGTTTCGAGTAATTGAATAAACACCAAGAATATGTAACAAAAACTTTTGAGCGTGAATATAGAGTAAATATAGATTTTCTTTTTACAACATACATCATAGAAAGAGTTTATTTATTCATAATTATGTACACAATATATATATCATATTATACGTGATACTCAATCAAATACAAATAATAGTACTATATTCTATTAAAAAATGATGAAATATTTAAAATTTTCTGTTATCAATAACGAAATTTTATAAATTTCTTCTTGAATCATTTTCCACTATTATTAATACTACCTAAATACTGTATACAAAATTTAAATTGTAATTGCGCGCTTTCAAATTACCAAATAAACTAAAGCGAGACGATGATGATTACACATGCTTTAAAAGAGATACCATATACGATTATTTTCTTAAAGCAAAGTAATTTATTAGGTAAAAAATTAAAAATTTATTTCTTGCGAGGTAAATATAATTGATACATATAAATAATTATTTGTTTAGCTAAATTATTACATAATTTTAATTAACTATCTTCTAAGAACTAATTTTGAAAATAATACTTCTCTACTGAAAGAAAGGTTATATCAATTAATTTAACTTTAAATATTACTATAAAGAATTAATAAACTTCTGCTTTTTACAATAATTGTGATAGAAAATAAGAATATTTTTTCGATATTATATTAATAAAAAAAGCAGATTTTAAATTAATTAAAACAAATTTATTACACTGTATAAATTGTAAATAAAATTTTTAAATTAATTAAAAGTATACCAATGGCCTCAGCTGGGATGTCACCACCAGAAGATGATGAGTTGACTTTACCTCGAGCATCTATTAACAAAATGATAAAGGAGATACTACCACATGTTAGAGTTGCTAATGAATCTCGTGAGCTTATTCTTAATTGCTGTACAGAATTCATTCATTTAATTTCTTCTGAAGCAAATGATATTTGTAATCAACAACAAAAGAAAACCATTAATGCTGAACATATTCTTCAAGCACTGGAAAAACTAGGTTTTAGTGATTACAGTGCAGAAGCAGAAGCAGTTTTAAGAGATTGTAAAGCTGTAGCTGCAAAACGTAGACGTCAAAGCACAAGATTAGAAAACTTAGGTATTCCAGAAGAAGAGTTATTACGTCAACAGCAAGAACTTTTTGCAAAAGCAAGAGAAGAACAAGCAGTTGCCGAGCAAATTCAATGGCAACAATTACAAGCTGTTTCACAAATGTCATCTATGATGAATAACGATAATGATCAGGATGATTATTCTTAATCAATTAATGTCTTATTTACTTTATTATTAATATGTCATATTTTGTAAATTATTAAAATAATTTTGCTTAAATTAATAATCCTATAATTCAATAGTATTGAAAAATTTGTAAAAATTTGCTATAAATTTAATAGAATTTTTTATCAATAGGTTTCGAAGATATATTTTTAGAAAAGAATGACCATTTTACAATAAAATTATATAAATTATACAATGTCTCTGAAAAACACTTCAATCAACTTTTATAAAAAATATATTTTATTATTTAAATATTTAATTCAAAACAATTTCATAAATTAATAGTTCTACTATGCTAATTAACTTATAGTAATATATTGGATAGAAAATTTACACACATTTTCATAATAAGAGTTTATTATAAAGAATTATATCCAGTAATTTTAAGGCATTAATCTGCCATATTCTGAAGACAAATGACTTTTTTTTATAGCTTCTACAACCTTTGAAACATAATGATACCTGTGTAATATAATTTTTCTCTATTTTATTTTTCAATTGTATATTATATTAAATATAAATGTGTGAAATAAGAGTATTTACCAATTTTTTTCAGTCAAATTAGATGGTGTCATTGCATTTCTACTGATGCCATGTATTTTTTTTCTTAACTTTGCTATAAGTTCGTTTTCATTTTCATAAAACATTGATTCACCTAAAACAGTATTTTGTTTCCTAATATTAAAATTAAGTAATTTATTTTACATATTACTTATTATATCTTGTTATATATTACCATCTGTTGAAATTAAAGGTATAAGGAATAAGTTTAATTGATTTTCTGCAGGATATAAACTCATATCAAGCCCACTATGAGTTTGTAATCGAGACGATGCAAAAGTTTTATTATAAAAATCCTTAAATAAAAAGATCCACTAAAATAAAATACTTTTATTTGTAAAAGTTTCATTAACTTACTTTAATCATTCTTATATTGCTTGGCATAAAATCTTGTATTTCAGCTTTATTGTGTAAAAATAAAATGTGTGGATAATATTCTACATAATCTTGGTCCATAGTAGTTGTTGATGAAGGTTTTAACATTTCTGCTGCTTGCAGAAATCTATAAAAGTTGATGAAATCAATATCAATAATCTTAATGTACTAGAATATTATTAATACTGCTCTATTATGATTAAATATTTTATTATTTTAAACCATACAAGCATTTAATGAAAGGTATAAAACATTTTTGAAAATGTTTGATTTATCTTTTTTAAGCTTAAAATAGTAAAATAAGTTTAGGTTTTACTGAAAATATGATTCTAAATTTTATAAATTATAAGTTTCTTATATTTTTACCTTATTAAATTCGGATCCACAAACCAATCTTGAATAAAAATAATTATATGGCAAACAGAAAAAAGAAATGCCAAAAATTGTAAAGATTGTAATTCTAAATTTGATTCATTACTAGCAAAATCACTGGTATTTTTTTTCTGATCAAAAGATATTGAGTAATCAACTATTGATCCAGATAAAATTGGTTGAGTATCTAAATAAATAACTCTATTTTTTGTAACATAGAAATCTATTCCAGTTGTGCAATTAACACCATTTTGAAAATGAGACAATCCTTGAACAGGAAAAATATTAGGGCTAAAATGTAAAAATTTCAAATAAATATTTATTTAAGAAACATTTAAAGATTCTTAAATCATATTATAAAAATCCATTATATGATAATAGAAGTTTAGTGTAAATAAATTTTGATTCTAAAATTTCAGATATTTTTAACAAAATATTTTTAAAGTAAATTTTACATATAATCAGAAGTAAGAAGGGACATTATAGTTGATTTTCCAACACCTTGTGCACCTACACTACCAATTACTAAAAAGTCTTGTTGGTCATACAAATAATCTAATGTATTTTCAGAGAGCTGCATGTTTTCATCCATAAATTTGATGCAGTTACTTAATTCAAGGCAAGGTAACAAAACAGCTCTTGCTGTAAAAAATAATAAAATTTAAAATAATAAATTAATGACATTTTTCTTTGAATACTTACTATCAATTACTTTTGTTAAAAGACTTGAATGACTCTCAGATTCTTTTCTATAAATGAATTTAAAATTTTTAATGACACACTATATTTGAATCAATTATAAGAATACAAATAAAAATATATTAAACAGATTTTCTTATAATACAAAAAATGTAATATATACTACAGAATACATTGTTTTTTTACTTGTATTTTTCAAAATTAAAATCATTTGCTTTATTAATAAAAATTTATGTCGATTGGATAAATAAAATGTAAAATTAAACATTATAAAATAATGTATCATCAATCTTTTCTACTTTAAATTAAACTATTACTTATTTCCATTTCGCTGACTAGGAGAAATAGCTCTGTTTTCACCTTCTCTTGTTTTCAAAATAAATGTTGGTCGTTCAATCACTTTAATTAGTGTTCTGCATTCATCTTTCCCTTCTGAATCTTTCGTTAATATAGGTATAATCTTCTTCGAGTTCATATTTATTATTTTATTCACATAAATTTGTTTTATGATTTAACAGTTTTTATTATTTAAAAAATTGATAAAAATAATTCTAAAATTAAAATAAATAATGCAAAAAATATACTTAGATAATGATTACAAAAAATATAATTATGTTGCTTTTTTACATTTGCATATATTATTGAAACAAATTGTTAAAATTTAAATTATAAAATTTAAATTAATAATAATAGTTCCAAAATATGTGGTTAGATTTAAAATATCTTTAGTATGTCTGGAAAATTATACTAATTTAATATATATTAACATTAATAATAATTTATAATCTGTAAATAAGTTAATTGTAAATCAATTTAAGTAGTTAAAGTGTGATTTGAATAATAATAAATAAGTTTAAATTTAATTTGCCCGAATTCAATATGCTTTTTATTATATTTAGAAATGAATCTGTATTTTTAAATAATATTCAAATATTTATATATTATTAAAGTATATATATTTTTCAAGCACACATGTTTTGATTCAAGATAGCTCTGATGTATAATCAGCATTTAAATAATGACTTTAGCATTTGTAATGGATAGAATTTAGAATATGCGCAATTTCACTACGCTTTCTACAAGGTGATCAAATACGTAAATCAAATAATTATTTAAAAAAAAAAAAAATATTTTTTTATTATGGACTTTTTAAATATTTATAAATTTCATGTTTCAATTAAATTAAAAACATATTTTTCAAATGTATATACTAGTATATTATATATATATATATATATATATATATATATATATATATATATATGCCTTTAATTTCATAATGAGCATATAATTTCAGCAAATCAACTTTAAACGCGTATACTTTAAATAGACATTCCTATTTGTTTGTTCTTTTATATATGTTTTCCGAGCTTTACTTACTCAGCAAAATGAGATTCAGCCAATATAAGTTGTATTTATGTATACAGTTATGATCAAAGCTTATTGATTTTTATTATCTTATTATTATGATTAAACCAAAGTCATCCTTGAAAAATAAATATCAGATATAATCGAATTCATTATTTGTCTAATCAATATCTATAAACTAAATTCTTTACTCCTTTGTTCTCTAAATTTAAATATTGTGTGAGTGAATACAATCTACTTAGAAGTGTACTATAAACCTTAAAGGCAAACGCATCTTAATTATATGAAGCCTTTGTTAAAAAATAATAAATATATATAAAAACGTAATTCAATGACCAGAGAATTACCTGAGACTTACGAATTTCTATATATCCAATTTAGTCACTATAATATAACCATATAAAACCATCATCAATTTGTTAGAGTATTGGGATCTACTTTTCGTCTAAATTTATTTTAAAAATCTTTTAATTACTTTGATTTTGTAGAAAGAGTACGTTATACCTTGATTTTAGCATCCTTATGAAATTGACGAATAAAATTTAGAGAAGACTTCTTAAAGTTCAATCATTTACGAGAGGAGTTTAAACATGAAAATAAGAATCAGAATTTCAAAAACTTCACTATCATAGATTATTCATAGTTATTATATTTCAAAATGATAGATGTTTTAAACGAATTGTTTACGGATATATACGAAATGAAATATAAAAATTTAATTGTGAATATTTGTTTTTTATTATGTCAAAAAATAAAATTGTGATTATAAAATCGAAAAGGCTAATTAATAAACTTTATATGGTCAATATAAATTACTTTTTTGTTATACATATGTAATATATTAATGTCAAAAAAATTCCATTAGAATTGTTTTTTAATTATAACTAAACTCTTAATTTTTACCAATAATTTATATTGGTATAAATTATATTTGATTGTATTATGACGCTATAACAAATCTTTTTTTTTTTTTTTTAATTATGGAATATTTTGATATATAATAATTATAAAATAAAAATTTATTTTCACTAGGTAGAATTATTATAATGTACGTGTTTTAATAATTTAATTCAAAATTGAATTTACCATTTTACTAAGAAAAAATGTGAATATTTACTAGTAATATTTAATAGTAATTATAAATGTATTAAAGAAGATAATTTAAATTTCATTTTAATACTTTAAAAAAAAAATGGATTATCTAGTGATATAATCATGCACATGCTACTATATATAGATGTTAAAAAAATCTAAATCATTATAAATTATTAACTTAATAGTAGATGATGAATTTATTAAGAATATCGACATGAGTCGATTGTTCTTGCAAGATAGTATTAAAATACTGCATTATTTACAATTCGCAGATTTGTTCAGAAACTTATTAAAGAAGCATGACCACTAAGTATTTGACAAAGATAATTATTTATCAAGTACCCTGTCCTCAAATAGCCATTTTACTTTCGAATTAAAAGATAAAAATTTTCAGATCAACAGTGTAAAATAATAAAATTAGGTCATAATTTATAAATTATATTTTTTTTGTATTCTAACCTTGGTAGAGTTCTACATTCCGTTATATAAGAAAGTGGAACAAAACGTTTATATAATATTGCCAATATATTCGAAGAAATTTCAATAAGAATTAAAATAAATTAAAGTTTGAATATGTTGAAATCTTTTTAATTAGTTAAGCTCAAATAAATACTTTATTAGAAGTTCCAATTATTGAATATTAGTGCTAAATAATAAAATTGAAAATATGTTTTTATAATTGACAGTATTAATATATTATATAATAACCATTTATTATAGTAGCAAAAAATATATTTCTTTTATTTAATAATATTTATTCAGATATAATAAATGATTTTGTTATTTAGTTAATTTGATATACTTATAATATATTATTATCTTACCTTTTCCTTTAACTTTTCATAATTTTACAAAGATCATTATAATAATTTGCATAATATGAATATAACTGAATTAACTGCTCAAGAATGGAAAGAAAAAGGAAATGAAGAATTCAAAAGTGGATATTTAGATAACGCTCTCGTTTGTTATACTAATGCATTAAAACTTACAAATGATAACAATTCTTATAAGGCTGTATTTTTAAAAAATCGAGCTGCAGTTTATCTTAAGCAAAATGAATATAATAAAGTAATTGAAGACTGTAATGAAGTATTAAAAATTATTCCAAATGATCCAAAAGCTTTATTTAGACGATGTCAAGCACTGGAAGGCATTGAAAAATTTGAAGAAGCCTATCGGGATGCCTTGGATATTCTAAAAGTTGATTCTGGCAACAAAGTTATTCAACTAATAGCTGGACGCTTATTTGTGATTTGTCAAGAAAAACTGAAACAGAACTGTCAATTATCTGTTAAAGTAAAGTTAATCTTTTAAAACCATTAAATATTTAACTATATTGTTATATTTAATTAACATTAAATATGAATAATTATTTTAATTTTAATATTAACTTCTATATATCTAATATTTTGATTATTAATCTACTTATATATTTTAAAAACAAAACGATCAAACCTTTAAATACTATAGAAATTATTAAATCCAATTATTGTGAAATTAAGAAGTTAGATTTAATTCTTTTATTCTAATAAATAAATTCATTGAATGTATTTGAAATTCAGAAGCATTTGAAAATTTCAAAGTAAAAAATACAGAATATTTATTAAGGATTTAATCACTTATTTTCATTATTATAATCCTTTAATGTTATTAATTTATTTTGTAATACTTTTTAATATAATTATTTTATGTTTAGGTATCCCAAATGTTTGACTTAGCTTTTGAAATGCATGCTGATATAGAGAAAAGAGAAACAGCTATGAATAATTTATTAGTTCTAACAAAAGAAAGGGCTGGAGCTGAGTTTATATTTAAAAAGGGCATAGCATTAAAAATTCACAAACTTCTTAAATTAGAAAAAAATGAAGTAATAATAATTGCAGCTATTCGGATTTTAGCAGAACTTTTTCAAAATAATGAAGAAAGAACTACAATTATTTTACATGATATAGGAGTCCCTTGGTTTTTTGATGCAATTAATAGCAAAAATGAAGAAAGAGTCAATGCTGGACAGTACTGTATACAGGTACAGTGTATACATATTTCAAAGAATTTATATTTTTCATATTGTATTAGTTTTAAATATGTTAAACAATTTAAACAATTTTATTAATTTTCAAATTTGTGAAAGTGACATGAAATAAATTATTTAATGAATTTATTATTCAATTTTCAAAATAATTTATATTTCTTTTAGACTGTTCTAAATAGCTATAGCGGGATGAGTACAAAACCAAATTCAAAACCCAACAAAGAGATGTGTGAAAAATATAAAAAGGAAATAGATAATATATTATCCTATCTTCTGTATTGTACAACAAATCGTACTTTTACTGGACAGGCAAGAAATGCTATAATTGAGCTTATAATGAAAAATATTCATCATGACATGTTCAATTGGGCTGAACAGTTTGTAGAACTTCAAGGTTTACAAAGGCTAATGGAAGTTTCTAGTGAACTAGAAGAATACAAATTTGAATCCGCAATGGATATCACTGCTTCTACAAGAACAATTACTAGTGTTTGCTTTGCTCGGATTTATGAGAATATGTATTATGATGCAGCAAAAGAAAAATTTAGAACAGCAATTGATGAATTCATTAAAGATAAATTACTTGCACCAGACATTGAATCAAAGGCATGAAATATTTGCATATAAGATTATGATTTATAAAATATTTTACATAGAATTATTTTGGAACAGTAACTAAAATACTAAAATTTTTAATTTCTTATATTTTAGAAATAAATAAATTTACTTAAATAAATTATTATATTCATAGTAGATAACAGATATTTATTTTCAAAAATATAATATTTATATAATTTTAATGTAATATTATAAAAGGCTGGCATGATTAAAGTTGTTTTTTTTTATATTCAAGTATTAAATAAATGAAATTTTGTAATTTATATTATAACTTAGATCTTGATGTTAAATTTTATTTTTATTACAGATACGAGTGGTTGTGGCAATCACAACATTGTTATTGGGTCCATCAGATGTAGGAAATAGTATAATAGCTAAAGATGGGATTTTGCAAATGATTTTTGCAATGGCAAGTAGCGATAATGTCCTTCAACAAAAAGTTGCTTGTGAATGTATTATTGCTGCAGCTTCGAAAAAAGATAAAGCAACTAGCATTATTAATCAAGGTATAAATATTCTAAAGAAGTTATATCAATCAAAAGATGATACCATTCGAGTTCGTGCTCTTGTAGGACTTTGTAAATTAAGTAGTTCAGGTGGTACAGATACATCTATACGACCATTTGCGGATGGGGCTTCCAAGAAGCTTGCAGAAGCTTGCAGAAAATTTTTAATTAATCCAAGAAAAGATAAAGATATGAGAAAATGGGCAGTTGAAGGTCTTTCCTATTTAACTTTCGATGCAGAAGTTAAAGAAAAATTAGTTAAAGATAAAGAAGCCATATCTGCTATGATTGAATTAGCAAAGACTGGAGATAAATCAATTATTTATGGTGTTGTTACTACTCTTGTTAACCTTTGTAATGCTTATGATAAACAAGAAATTATTCCAGAAATGATTGACTTAGCAAAGTTTGCAAAGTACCATATTCCAGAAGAATCAGAACTTGATGATCCCGATTTTGTTAATGATAGACTAGTCTCTTTAACAAAAGATGGAGTTATAACTGCACTGGTTGTACTTTCGAAAACAGATAGTCAAAATAGTAAAGAATTAATATCTAGAGTATTCAATGCAATTTGTAGTCAAGTTGAGGTTAGAGGTATCGTGGTTCAACAAGGAGCAGCAAAAGCTCTTTTAGAACTAGCACTCACTGGTACAAACAAAGGTAAAAAACAAGCTTCTCAAGCTTTAGCTCGATTAGGTATTACAATAAATCCTGAAGTAGCCTTTCCAGGTCAAAGAATTTATGAAGTAATTCGACCATTGATCAATTTACTGAATCATGAATGCAATGCTCTTGAAAATTTTGAAGCAATGATGGCTTTATGTAATTTAGCAGGTCTTAATGATAATGTACGAAAAAAAATTTTAAAAGAGGGAGGTTTTCAAAAAATAGAGGTTTATATGTTTGAAGATCATATCATGTTGAAAAGAGCATCTACTCAAGTTGTAAATAATCTTTTAATGTGTGAAGATACAATCAAATTTTTTGAAGGTGACAATGATAGAGTTAAATATTTAATTATATTATGTCAAGAAGAGGATATTGATACTTGTTTAGCAGCAGCTGGTGCCTTAGCTATACTTACATCAATAAGTAAAATTGCATGTAATAAAATATTTGATTCAAATAATTGGTTGGAATCTATTAAATTTTTATTGGCAAATCCTAATCAAGATTTACAACATCGTGGTGTGGTTATTGTTTTTAATATGATAAATTGTAATAAAGAAATAGCAATAAGGTTAATTGAAACCGACCTTATGGAGCTTTTGATTGTAATGGCAAAAAGTGAGTTAATTGAAAATCCAATAGTTAAAAAAATGGCTGATAATGCTTTGGAAGCTGCAGCTAAATGGAAACTTGTAGAAAAGATTGTTGATGTACATACAAATGTATTAACTTAATTAAGTGTACTTTTGAATACACAAAATAATTTAACTTATTTAAATTTGTTTTAATGCGAATATAATCATTTTTGTTTTTGAAGATTTTAATAAAATTAATATTAAAATCAGTTTGTTCTTAATCTTTTATTAAAATTAAGTGAATTAAAGTTTGTTTATGGTAGTGAAAACTGAAATTTAAATATTCATGAAGAATTTACAGACTTTATTTATTAAATATTAATATTTATATATTTTAATTTTAATTTAATACTATATTTGTACAAGATATTATAATTATATTTGGTTATACTTGTACAAGTTTGTTAATAAAGTTTTATAAAGTAAATAATTTTATTTTATTTTTATAAAATTTAATAAATATATAATTTGTATTTCTATATGTGTGCATGTGTATGTGCACATAGGTACCAGTTTATGAATTAAAAAATGGATGTAATAATGCTTGATCTGCAGTAATTCGTGTTTTATAATCTATATCCAGCAGTTTTGCAAGTAAATTATATGCATCTTCTGGATAATTGAATCTAATTTCCTTAAAATAAATTATATAATTTATTTAGTATTATTTATTATTATTAAAATATTTAAAAATGATAAAATTAATTTTTATATATCAAGGCAAAAATACAAAATACGATGTACCTGCTTAAAGGTTTCAGATGCAGTACTTTTTGAGTATTTCTTACGAGTTTGTAATTTTTGACAAAGTAAAACAATATCAATACCAGGAATTTCAGAACTAAATATAAGTTTTTTGCCTAATATAATTATACAAATAAAAGAATATATATACAACAAAGTTTAGAATATGTATAACAGATTTATAATTGTTAATAATTATTGAAAAAATGTTTATATTGTTTTAAATGTATGTTCCATTACCAAGATTTCTTGCACATTGCTGCATTGCATTAGAACCAAAAATTGCAGTAATCTCTGCTAGTGCTGTCATGTCATCTGGGGATCGAAATAAAGGTTGTGTTCCACTAAGTATACTTAGCATCATGACACCACAGGCCCAAATATCGATTGCTATAATATATATATTTTTAAATTAAGCATTTAATATAAGTTTTAAAATTAAACTTATAAACGTGATTTATTGAATATCTTATATAGATTAATACATATTTACTAATTTTAGTTAAAATGTTGATGGTTGAAGAATGAAAAATGAAAAATGTAATGTGCACTATACCTTTGTACTGTGAATAAATAATAAATATACATGAAATATTAAAACACATTAAATAAAAGATATAATAAAAGATAATTTATAAGTAACTTATTTAATCAAATATTGAAAATAAAAATAATAATTCAGTTTCTAGTATGGTAAATTTTGAAACTGATAGATAATAAAATGTTCGATATAATGGATAATGTTGATTAAAATGAAAAATTAAATAGTTATATCATAAAAATAAGTGAGTTTTTTAATAAATAATAGGTAAATCTAGGATATTCATGTTTTAATTATTAAATCTTATATTTGAATTAATTTTAAATCAGAATCATAATTTAAAACATAATTATAACAGTTGTTGATATTTAAATCAATGAATACATCAATATACATTAAGATTTATTATTAATATCTTATTAGATATATAGAGTACATATTATTTCATATAATTAAAATTTAAAAATCAAATAACATAATTCAATTATGATTATTACTTAATATTTGAACAGAAATTTTTATACACAAAAATAAGATTTAACAAAATTCAATAATATATCAAACTAAAATTTTAATAATATTTTTAAATTAATTAAATTTTGCTTAAAAAAATTTGTGTATTCGAAATTCAAAATTGATACATTAATAAATTATTGACATAACGATTCGTTTAAAATATCTTTAATTTTTTTAGTGAATTCAAATTCATTTTCAATTAATCATTTTGGTTTTACAGTAGTATGCTTCATATTTAATTAAATTTATTAAATATTTTATGCTACATAACATCTAATTTTTACCATAAACTAATCATAAAAGTAGATGATAAAATTGTTTTTATTTGTATATTGTCTAGATAATACATAATGGAAAAATTAAATTTTTACCTGGTGTTTGCCAAGGATACTTTAATAAAACTTCTGGAGCTCTAAAGCCAGGTGTCCCTGCACGAGATGCTGCTTGAGATGGTCTTATCAAACATAGTGAACATATTTTTGACTTCCCAAAACAGTAACATTTATCTCCTACTGGTTTGTTTGATGTTTTTAAGCTTCTATCAATTGTATTCTAAATAATATAATAAATATTAGGTTGACGAATACAAATTATTTTAGAAATTAATTTTTAAAGTTAATTTACTTCATTAAAACTCTTTCTTTCTGTATATTGAAATTTATTTTGATTTATTTCAGAATTAATATTTTTTATTTTTACACCAGGAGTATATTGCTGTGCTAATCCAAAGTCTACTAGTAAATACCTAATTAATTATCAATTTATAAAAATGATTGAGCTGTAACTTTATTGATTAATTACTGTAATATAGCATTATTACTTTTTATTACTTCTATCATACAAAAAATTACTTGGTTTAATATCTCTATGAATTATGTTAAATTTATGAACTCTATGTAAAGCTGTTAATAAAGCTTTCATATAGCCTTTCATTTCTATTGGTTTCATATCTTGTACATAATCCTATGAAAGTTTTGAAAATTAAATGTATACAAAATAAAAATTTTTATTAAAATTTATTACAATGTTATTTTCATACTGAGAATTTATCATGCTTCATAAAAGGCATTACAAAAACAACTGATCCAGCATGACGTAGGCATAGATCTAAACCAACAACATAGTCTTTACCTCTGTAAAATAAACTTTTTATTTATTTAATGTTCAATGAATAAAAACAAATAAATATTTAAATTTATTATTCAATAAAAATATATTTATAAACATTATGTATCCTACTTATAATATATAAACAACATTTAAGAAATTAATTTAAAAATTCAATTATTTTTTTATGTTGAATCACCCAATATCCTTAAGGCATTGTAATTCACGTTCAATTCGTCCAGGATGACAAGTAGGAATTAAATGTTTCACAGCAAAATTTTTGGATTGTAATGAATTTTTTAATGTAGCAAGGTAGACTGAACTAAATGTACCTTCACCAACTTTATAATGTATACTGAAAAGTTCGTTTAAAATAGGTACAGTCCTAAGTAATAATGATATCTGCTTAGCACCGTTATCTAAACACACATTATTTTGTTTTTAACAATAATTGAAAGTATACTTTTATAAATCTTTTGTAGTATTTATATAGAAGTACTTACCTTCGTAATTTTCATTAAGAAATTTTTCTATCGATTTATTGAAACTCATAGTTAAGTTAATAAAGTTGATATTCTACTACCTTATCATTATTTCCAAATAGTAATGTAAAATAATTTTTAAGCATATGTATATAAATAAAAGTGACATTTCATGTATATTACGTAGGCTTTTTATGGATTAGCGCTAGTTATGATCTTTGCTAACCAAATGTCTAAACTAAATACATTCATTAATATAAGTATTACTTATTAAATTTTACTTAACAGAACGGACAGTAAGCTTAGTGCATAAATTTTAAATAAATTCGATACTCATTTTCATTATGATTTAAATATTATCAACAAAAACTAAAATTCGCCAGTTGATTTTAAATTTATTTTCTAAATTTTATTGTATTAAATTAGAAAATGGTATGCTATACTAATAAAAAATTAGATTACAGAGACAATAAATATTACTTCTTTTTATTTATATTGTCTTAATTAAAACAAAATATAAAAATAATTGTATACATGAATGTAATTAAAACTTAGTTTTTGAAAAATGTACTCTATATTAAAAAAGTTAATTTGGTTAACTTGGTGATTTTACAATTTATTTTTATAATATATTAATTTATTAATCTTTATATGTAATAAATTTGGTATTATTATGCTATTTTATAGCATTTCAAAAAATTTGTATTTATAATAAATATATGTTAAATAACTATAAATAATTACTTTTACATTTAAATCTAAAAATGATATTTAAATGACTTGCTCAATAAAATAAAAGATATATGAATAACTGCACTAATGATTTCATGAAATAAGCAATGCCTTCAATGATTTCGTAATGTTTTTTTTTCAGAATATTTTAATTACAAGAAAATGACGTTTTTCGGAAGAAAAACTTAGTTCTTCCACTAGATTAATTTTTAATGGAAACTATCGATATAATTAGAAAATTAATTGGTACTATATAGATTATACTGCTTGTTAGTATTGTACATATTGTTTAAATTTCACATAAAATCCAGGTTCCTGCAAAGATGTTTTTAAAATAATCCTGCTAACAACATATTCCTTAAATATGATCAAAATTAACAACGTTTTAAATAATTGTAAATTAAGTAGTACAATAAATTTATATACGTATTCTATAACTTAACATTTCGATTCTAGAATGTTAAGTAATAAAAACATTTTTTAAATATAAAAAATAACAGAGAATCCTACAAATATTAAAAATTATTCTATTTATTTTTGAAAAATTACTAGGAATAATTATTCTATTTTCTTAAAATTGTATTCATTATAAATAAACTTATTTAAAATATTAGTTGAATCGAATTTGACTTACTCGAAATAATTTTTATAAGTTTTATTTATATCATTTATATATTTATAAGTTTTATTTATTTATTTATATACAGTTCTTATATTACTTATAATATTACGTTTTTTTTTAGTTTTTTCGATTCGAAATTGCAATTTATTTAATATTAAATTATAATGATAATAGATGTTTAAAACTATTATCTTCTGATATTTAATAGAACCTTTCATTAATTGACCTTTCGTATTTAACTTTTAAGAATTTGATAAATTTAACTGCATAATAAACAATATTCAAAGTTTCTTACATTTCTGACCATTGGCATCATTTTAATTTTGAATAAATATATAGCTATATTAAATTTTTTATTAGTATTTTTGATCGATATATATATATATATATATATTTATATTTATATTTATAATTATTTTATCATTAAATTTATTGTATGTTTTTCATTAAATAATTTTGTAACAATGTACGTAGGAGTTTTAATGATTGTAACACGAAATTAAATATTTTGGTTATGCTATTGCATGCCAACTCTTATTTACATTACTAATGTATGTTTATAATCTTTGTTATAAGGTCCTCATTACAAAAATTATTACATATTGACATTTGTATTTTTAATCTCAAATGCAAAAAGAATTGATTTATGATTGATTTTTATGTTATACTAATCGTATTAATTTTGTATCTGATAATAATTATCGAACTTCTATATAGTCATATTAATTTTCATAATAAAATAGTTTAAATTGATTGATATCATTTAAATAATATCAATTCATTAATTTGTTAAAAAAAACATTAGTTAAGTCTTTTTTCCATACAACTTTCTTTATTTTCAATTTTAGAATACGTTTTGGAAAAATTTGTTTTTTTACTACAATACTAAAAATATTTGTTCCATTTTTTATATTCTAAATATTAAAATTAGCTTTTATTTCTTGAAATTCCAGGATATGAAAATCATTCATTTTAATTTTCTTTAAATTAATTAATTAATTTAGATTATTCTAAGTTATTTCACGTATTAAAAGTTTGACATAAGATTTTTAATCATTTATGGATTTAAATTTAAAAAGTTGGTAAAATCTAAGCTACATGATCCTGTGAAGATATTTTAATTAATGTAATTAAGATAAATATATATAACTACCGCAGAATACAAAATAATTTTTAAATATTTTCTAAGTTCATCAGAAAAATTATTGCAAGTACCATTAATGTTTGTGTTTGTTTAATTAAAATTTATTTTATTCCTATGCATTGATGACTTGTAAAAAGTAATTTATATATATTTTTTTAAATTAAAATTACACAATTCAATTAATTGATTTTTATTATTTATAAATATATTCATAATATTTCATTGTTTTATACTTATATAATACAATCTAAAAGCGAATATTATTTACGAAATTGATATGGACATCTGTCACATATCTCCATTTTTTATGACATTGCAAGTTAAAAATTATACGAATCACATATTAAAAAATATTTATAAAGTTATTGTAAATTATTGTTTTCAACGATTTATTTTACTTATAAAAATAAATTTATAAATATAAAAAAGAAAGACATTTTTTAATGATAAATATAACATTACATATATTAAAAATATAATTTAAACAATTATTTATTTTAATTTCCATCTTTTCACTTTACGTTAAGCCATCAGCAACGTTACGTATACCGTTTTTATGTTACGTTTAGAGTTTGAAAAGTTTTGTAAAATACACTAAAAGAATATTAAATCACATCTATTTATTTGTTATACAAAGAAAATTATTCCTTTTAATTATATAGAAAGAATGACTTCATATTTTTAAATGCATTTAAATTAAAAATGAAAAAGTAATAATTTCTTAAACATTATTTTCTCATTACCCAAGTCACATCTATTATTGCTCAATTAAAAGTCAGCCAATCAGATATTAATTATAATATACATATATAACGTGTCGACTACAACGTAATGATCTAATAAATTAACAGTAACGTCAAAAAATCATAATCCTTTAAGTGTTATATTCAAAGAGCATGAGTACAAGTGCAGTTTTAGAGTGAAATTAACTAAAGTATAACACCAACATTTATTAACATATATCTTACACAGCTACGGCTTAACGTATACCTTGCAACGATCGCTTCACAACATCTACACAGGCTACGGCTTACACGGCGACGGATTCACGTACATATATTAAAACAGCTACAGGTTACAACCGCGACTGTTTAACATATATCTTACAACAGCGACGGCTTTACGTACATTAAAAACAGCTACAGCTGACATCATATCTTAAACAAAAAACATAAAACAGTTCACAAGGATTCACAATAGCCACAGATAATATTCATCTCGGCTTCAAGGAGCAATTGTTGGAACGTCACCTACACGTGACACTGCTCAATCACCATGTAAAAATCACTGAAGAAACTTCACAGATTTTATAATCATTTTACAATATTAACATTAACACCATTTATAATCATATTGTATTCAAGAAATAAATAGAAAATCAAAATACACTGTGTGTTGAATTGAAAAATTGCGTCTGCCTTCTCCACTTGTCAGCAATCCCCCCCCCCCCAACATCATTGGGTGGTTCATATTCTAATCCCAGACATCATGTTACATCTTGCTGTTCTTCATTTAAACATTATTACTCAAATAAATTAATAAATAATAGTCTACACAAATTAGATTTATTATACAAAACTTTTATGTAATTACTTATTTAAAGTAAATATTCATTACATACTTTACATATATTTATCAATTATAATGAATGCAATTATTAAATTACTCTACTAAAGAATTAATTAATAAAAATTTGAAAAACATGTATGTATACTTGCAGTGAATTTTGTAATACTTAGTTTAAACAGTAAACTAATATAAATATTGTGTATAAGTATATTTTTTATTTATACATATTACATGATTGTTTAAAATATTAATAAAAACAATGAAATGTGTGCAATGTATTGTGTACGTTTTTATTATGAAAATTTTTTTTTTCGTAAAAACTGTAAGTAGTCGTTAATTTAAATTAATCAATATTTGAATAACAATTTTGAATTCTTATTATAATGAGTTTATTTAATTATGCAAATGCATTTATTAAAATTTTATTCTAAAATATGTTTTAATTTTAATTTTAACAATTACAATTTTTTATCAAATTGTGAAAGAATATTTTTAAGTAGTATTACAATGTGATTTAATTTTGTAATTTATAAATTCTAAATAATAGTAATACTTTATATATTTGTATGTTGAATATATTATAATTAAATTTTTGTTTGCCCAATTACAATACTTATATAATTTATATGTTTAATTATTGTAATTTTGAAAATAAATTACAAATACCATAGTACTGTACAATTTTATATAATTAATAATTAATTTAAGCATTTACTATCATTCCAATATTTTGTATTTTATAGAAAAAGATAATAATAAAATCTGCTATATAAACTGCACATAATTTATAATTGTCTATCTCACAATATATCAATATGTAACACATATTTGTAAACTACATAATACATTTCCATATCAGAAAATTAAACTGTACAAGATATTAAAATATGTTTATTCAGTAGTAGAATTAAGTTTGTGCAGAACCATATGTGCCAGTTGGAGGTCGATATAGTTTCGGAAGTGTCATAATTTGTAAGCTATTGAATGCATATTTCTTTATACCAATATTTTTCCATGTATTTTCTCTTCGACATCCTTCACTATAAAAATGTAAATAAACAATTATTAAAATTAAAATTGAGAACTTCAATCCTATATTATTTAATTTTATTTTAATGAAGTTACTATCAAAATAGCTAATTGCTTATTTTCAAAGAATATGGATTTGTAAATATTTTTCGTTTACTATGAAAGAATAATTATATTTAACTGACATTTTTCTTATTAAATTAATTAAATTGAATTAAACTAAATAAACTTACCTTCGCATACAGTCAAGTGCCTTTGACACTTCATGTTCTGCAAGATGATATTCTGTTGCAAGAATGTTTACTTGTTCTAATGTAATAGACATTCCAGTGCGATCTTTTGCACTTTTACAACTAGTAAATCTTAAACCTCGCATGCGTCTACAAATTTGTGAAGATAGTTGTAAAATTTCAACATTTTTATTTACTTTAACTTGAACACAAGCTTTTAGATTTGTCATCAATTCAATTAATGTTTGATTCAAGCCTGATTGAGCTCCAACTAAAACGGAAAATAAATATAAAATATTAGAATTTTTTAATTTTATGTGAGTTTTTTAATTACAGCATATAATTACATCTAGTAGAAACAAATTCTGTTGGAAGATTCAGTTTTTTAAATCTCAAATAATATTCATTTAATCGATCAAAATTATCCACGTTACTTTTTTCTTGAGGTTTCGTAATTCCAAGACTTTCTGCTAAAGAAGCCATTTCATTGATTCCAATGTTAAAAAATACAGGAGTTACTGTAAAGGAAAGAGTTTGTTTAATCGAAGGAATTAATGGGAATAAGGAATATATGGCATCTGGTACTGGAAGAAGTACTGTTAATGCTGTTCTTGATCCAATTACTCTAGGCAATGGAAATCTTGTATTATGCTTTCCGTCATTTTGACTAAAAATAATAAAAAATTAAATATTTTGAATAATATTATATGTACTATATTATCCTAATATTGAATTCATAATTCTTATTTTGTTTGATTTTATAATAATATATATGTATAAATCTATATATATATATATAAATATCTGTATACAATATATATACACATGTTGGTGCTACCAAGTTTTAATTTAAGGAAAATATATTAAAACTTGAATCTCAAGAATCATAGGTGTTGGAACTAATACAAAATTTTATTCACTATAAATAGTATAACTAATATAAATAATACAATACAACAGGTATCGATAACAAATGCGAGCGTGAAACTTTGATACGTCTGTACTAATACACCTTTTCCATTTGTTTTTAATCATATGTTTTTTAGGATTGTGTTTGTAAATTTTGTAATAAGCTGCAGGAAAATAATAAAAGGATTTACTTCAGATATTGCATTTATATTAATTTTAAAAATTTAAGAAATTCATGGTTGTAGCGAAATTTGAAAATGAAAGCGAAAATGTTCGGTGTAATTTAAAATAATTATTCACAATAGATCTAACTGCTATAAAACAACAATTATTGCCAAATATTATATTAATATTAATATTTTTATTATCCCAACAACTATAATTAATTCTTTGTGACAAATATGGCTAAATAAATTAAATATGTTATTTAAATTTGTATACCTTGTATGGATTTCATTTCTTGATAGTTTAAATGTGACTGTATGCATATCTTCTATAGCAACAGCCATGTCTCCCCACATATCAATTTCATCTCCATAGTAACTTAATAAACCTTCAAAAGAGATCAGGGGACCAAGTGTTGTTAAAATTAATAAAAATATTGGATCTGGTCTTTGACACCAAAGTTTTGCCATCAGACCAGATACTAATGCTGTCAGCTAAAACAAGAAAATTAATCCTATTTATTATATCAATACAATTTATATTTTCTTATAATATTATTTCAATTTGTTCATAAAACAGTTGTTAGAATATTAATAACATTTACCGCTTGACTGAAGCATACATCACGTCTATAACGGACGTTACAAATACGATAGGCGGTTTTAGAATCTTCTTGTACTCTAAAAACCGAATGAGTGAGCCGTGCAGTTTTCAGTAAACCATCCATTGCTTGACGAAGTTTCTTCATGCTAGGTCTTAATTCACTAGTCCAGTCAACAATTGATGCAAAATCTAAACCTTCTGTAAATTTATTTCTCGAACTTGAATTCTCTTTTATTACGCGTGTCATGGAACTCATAGCTTGACACACTGTATTAGAGGATGCATTACAATAAAATAGAGTGATTCCTATTTAAAAAGGGCATTTGTAACGATAATGAATCAAAACATGTAAAAATAAAAATAAATAATTTGAAGTATATAAATATAAAAAAAAAACTAAAAAAATAAGGAAAAGGAATATAAGGAAACTAAAAAAATTAATTATTTATTTGCAAAGAAAATTTTACTCTACTATCCGAAATAATTTTTGTATAAAACTCGAAAAATATTTTACAACTGGATTCAAATATAATTAAAATATAAATTAATGTTAAAATATATATTCAATATATATATATATATATGTTTGTATATTTAATGAAAGTTTACTAGCTGAAAACATTAAATTATTTAGTATTTAAATCTTGTAATTTTTATGAATTAACTTTATTTACAGATTATAAAATATTTTAAGATATTTTATATACCTTCTTTTGTTTTATTCATTGCTGAATTTTGTTTACCAACATTAGTATTACTTTGTTCTACATCATTATCTAATAGCTTAGTTGTTTCTTCATTTTTAATACCATTTTTTTGTCGTTTAGTTACAATAGATGTGGCATTAGTTCTATTATATTCTAGGTAATTCTTTAAACTTTGATTCCTATCTAAATAATTTTTATTGCGTAGTCTTATTGCTGGACTAGTACATCGCCCACATAGAAACTTTACTTTTGATATAAGACACATAACACTTGCTTCAATATTTAACTGAATTAAATCCCATGGTTCAGGTTCATCTGTTGGTTTATAGTAGTTTGCAGAAGGAGAATTGCACATCTTTTGTGTATCAAGGAAACGCTTACTCAAATCTATATTATTGATATGATTTAAATCAGGTTTTTCTTCATCTTCCTTCATATGATTATTGTTATCTTCGAGTTTGCAATTCTGTTTGTTAACATTTTCAGTCATTTTACATTTATCCAATTCATTTTCAACCTGAAATTATATTTTATGATAATAAAACAGTTTTTTGTTATTATATTCTAATAGACGATAAGTTGAAGAGTGACTCGTTTGTAATAAATATTTAGAATATTTAAAGAAAATCAAATGATTTTTTATTGAATAAAGAACATTACCTTTCTAAACACATGAATTTCTATAAAAATATTATTATAATACATGCATAGATATTTTTATTATAAATGAAAAAAATTATTATAAGCACAATGCAAATGCTCCATTATAAGTATAAATTACTAACAATTTGAAATGTTGTCAATAAATATAATTTATAAAAATAATATAAAATTTCTGAAAAATATGAATGTGGACAAAATATTGATTATTAAAAATTAAATACAAATCAAAATATGTATGTATTGCATTGTATGTACATATTTACATTTAACACATTCTGAAATGACACATACATATATATCAATATTCATTTCTAATGAATAATGATGATTAATTGTACAAATAAAATCTAAAAAATATTACTTGGATTTACCTCTGGAAATATCACAAAATTTTCATTAGTTTGCTGGTCATGTATATTACGATTAATTTTATTTTTTACAGTAAAGCTTACATATTTATTTTTAGAACTTTCCTTTTCCCATATCGCTTGTACATATTGTGGAGTATCTGGTGTAATAAAATCATCGAAATCAGGACTTTTAAGATCAAAATTAAGTTGTTGGGTAATTCTTTTAAAAGGCGATAATGGCTTATTAGTGTCAAAATTAAGTGTAAAGGAGACTTCATTATTGATAATCTCTGATGCCTTCGATACTTTATGTTCTTCTAAAAAGGCTAAAGCCTCTTCAATTAATCCAGGATCCCAAAGACTAAGTAATGTTCGAGTTTTAGAGATCATTTCCTCACATATTGATAGCATACCGGTTGGTTCTTTATCTTTAGCTAATTTCATAAGAGATTGCATTGCTTTAACTACATCACTGCGCAGTTGTTTAATGGTTTGAATTGCATCATATAACATTAAAATTTTCGAATTTCCTTGATAGATTTGGATGCCTTGTATCAGAGATTCTTTAAGTGTTTGCACTAATCTATGCATGAAAATATAAACAAATATTTGTTAATAATAGTATTTTTAATCAAATTTTAATAAAATTTAAAAAATAAAAAAAAATTAAAAACCATCTTTTACTCATTAAGTGCAATTATGCTTGATTTTATAAATAAAATTGTATATAAAAATATTCTATAAAAATACAACTTTTCTAACTTTTTGCATGGATTCCTTTTACTCTATACTGTTTGTTACAAGGTATACTAGGTACATACACAGAGCATTTGCAATTATAAAAAAATATATGTTTTTATAACTTAACTTAATAGAAGAAATAAATTTAGTTACGGATCATGAGAAAAAAAAGTCAACAATAATTCTCCTATCTAAATTAGAAAAAAATGAATTTGAAAAGTCTAAATTTGCAAGCTGGCATTCAAATATAACAGCTTAAATTGGTTTTATTAATTGTAAAAATATGATATCAATGTAGTATATATGTCAAGTAGTCCTAATGTTAGGAGACTCATTGAACTTTTTTTTAGCCATAATGCTTGTAAACTACTATATAATATTAATTATGAAACATGATATACTATGGCATTATATTTGGAATTGCATAGAACTCTTCCTTTATTTATTTTTAAAATTTTAAATACATCTGTCTAAAAATTAAATACTTTAAACTATTAGAAATTAAATTGTAGTAAACTTTATAAACTTATATACTACTTATTATAATTATAATTCTAATTGTGAGGTATTTTATCTATAAAAATAGTTTTTATTGTAACTAAAATTTTAAGCAAACACATTTTTTTACAATCATGTACAACAAAAAGAACGTCTAGTTGGTTTATAAACTTAATAGTGCTACACGAAATAAAGGTTCTGTATAAAGTACATCGGTTAAATAATGAAATTGTAGAGTTAAGTATTTTAAAACTAATCTTAAATTTATCTTATTCTTTCTTCTCTGCTAAAAAATGCTAAAGAGCGTTAATTTTTAAACAACTATTGGTTAAATTATACATAAAAGAAATTGAATTTGACACACACAAGTGTAATATTCTCTAGGCATTATAAAGTATTAAAATCTATGATCAACTCTAATTATGAAGTAATATTCTTATTATAAATTTAAAAATTAATTAAACTGATAAAGTAGTGCAAACTAGCAAAAAAGAATAGTGCAGTAATAATATGAATAAATTTGAACTAGAAATTTTAAGTGAATGATAATCCCTGAAGATCAAGAACATTGCAAACGTCAATACATGGTCTACTTTTATTAATTTTCCCAAGAACGATAATGGTGAAAAATCGGCAGTTTAAAGCGAGAAAAAAATTGGTACCTTTAAGATCATCATCTGAGTTTTCATAGGGTTTATTAGTGTTTTTTCGTTTATAGCCATAGAAAACAATAAAAATTAGCCCGCACTGAATGGTAAGAGCTAATAGTATTGGTTTTTCTGTGATTTAATTATACAACTTTATTAAATATTCTAATTGATTAACCTATCATAAAATATGAATAAGAAAACATTCTCTTTTCTTTAAAGTGATTGTTATTCAGTATTCATTGCTATATGAAGATATGGTACCTCGTAAAACACAGAATTTAACAATTTAATTGACTGGCTAAATATCACATACTAATATTCACTATATATGTATATGAATATGTAATGCTAATACAAGATTTTTGTGCATATTTTATTCATTTATTGTACTAACTTTGACAGTAATCTGACAGTAATTTGCGATTCGAAAGAAAAGAAACGATAGACAGTTTATTAAAAGCAAGTTCGTAATTTGTAAACTAAGAAATTTCATTATTTTCATATACTTTGAAGATTTTTAAATTGAATAAGAACTAATTAAAATAAAAGATTGAAAAAGAATGAATTACAATATAAATATTTATGTTTTACCTTAGAAGTCCACCGGTTTTACTTTTATGAGAATGAGCAGTAAATGCCCCAACACTAATAAAATCATATAAACCAGATTTATTTAACGTATCATTATGAACCCACATTCTTTGAAAATGTAAATTCAGAGGTGCAAATTCTAATGATCTATCATTCTTTCGCGATGACTGTTTAAAATAACTTCCTAAAATGTAATTTTTTATGAATAAATTAAATTATATTTTTATATTTCGTTTATAGCAACAATATTTACCTTTAAATGCGGCTAAATTTTCTTTTGCTTGAGAATATAAGTGTAACAGATGTAAGTGTCGATCTAAAAGTTCAATTTGTTTAGTATGCCAAGGTTCTCGCAATTCACCCATTCCAGCAACTTCTTGCAAAAGTTCCTTTTCTTCTTGAATCCAAATTCCTCTTTAATTTTTTAATATAATTCTTTATCAGTAAGTATTTATTTTAATTAATTTATAAAAATATTAATTTGAACAAATAAATCAACGTACAACAATTGTTGTGGAAACTGGTAGCATAACTTGCTTTCAGCCATTATTTCATAAACGCAAATATCACCACCCAAACCAGAATGAAATCTACATATATTAAAAACAATATTTTATTTTAAAAAATAAGATTGAAAATGTATCATTTCATAAAAACGTGTTATAATAATGTACTTATAAAATATTATATCAAATATATTTGTAAAATTTAATTCAGAAAATATATTTTTATTCTGTTTATTTGTTAGAATTCAGGCAGATCTCATTCGATACTATCAATATTTTTAATACTAAATTAATTACATTGTATTATTTATTCCTTTTCTTTAAGAAATGAGTAGTCTATACGTTTGTCACTTGTATAATATGGAAGTTTTATCCAAATAAATATACCTGTATGTTTGGATATGAGAATTAGCAAATAGCAGTTTTAATTGTCCTTGATGAGGAAGCTTTATTTTTGTACCTAATCTTGAAGGAAGTGATTGCGAACGTCTATGACAATACAATTTATTTGACATATTTTTGGATGGTGTACTTTCAGTACTATTTCCTTTATCCTCGGTTTCTAAATTCCAAGCATTAATGGTTAAAAAGCCTGCAGTTATGTCCTTTGAAGATTTTAAGGGTATTCTCAATCTGAAATTGTCATATAACAATTAATTAAATGTATTATATAATTTTACAATTACATATAAATGAAGAAAAATGCAGAAAAATCATACGATCTTTTAAAATTGTCTTACTGCATTATTTTATCATCGATATATATTTTTATATCTTTATTTATCATTGTTTGCTTTACAAGTCTACATTTTTTTTAAGTGTACATTTTCCTTTACACTTTCATAATATATACTCGACTATATTTATTCCTTTATTTACGTGCTTCTTGATGATATTTATATCTCACTATTATTATCAATTTTTGTATCGGAGAAAAGAGATCAACATCACAATCGAATAGAAAAGAATGGAGTTCACAATATTTTTAAAGCATGTACCTTTTAGATTAGTGTGTGCATTTTTAAATATAGCAATTATTAATTATTTATTATTTTTTCTCTTCGAACAATATCCTTGTCATTTTTTTTATTTACGCAATAAAACTCATGGGGCAAGATAGAAAATAAATGGCTTTACATAAAATTTTCATCGCTTTTTCAAAGATGCGAATGTTTTTATTTGCTACTGCTCTATTTGTACTTTATGGTACTAGTAATCTTTGAACATCATTTTGAACGTAAATAGTATCTGAACACTATTGTTAATACTGCTTCTACCATCGATAAATAACTCTGGTATTATCATAAGTTACCACATTTCATATTATTGACACTGTCAAGTATTCCAACTTTTTTTTTGCCTATGTTTCATGAGAAGTCTAATATTAAATCTCTATAGAAAGTTTGCCTAGATAATCTTCGAAAACTCATTTAGTAATACAGTAATATATTGGGTTATCAAATATTAATATACGTTAATAATTTATATCTCAGCATTTTCAAACCCTACCATTAGTATTAACTGAAATAGTTCATTGGGATTCATATTGGCTACTGCCATCTATTTCACTATTGTAATATATAGCTTAGTTTTTTAATTATTAAATAATAACTGTCAATATATAGAATATTAATGTTCAAGCAATTTCTGTTTATGGTCTGGAACTTTTACACTTATAAACATTCTTTCATATTATTTAAAATTTTCTATTTTATTTAAAAGCATTACTGTTATTTTGTACTTGCCACTGTTATTTCATTCTCCTGCTCCTTCTCTCCATGTTACAATTATTTATATTACATATATTTACTTAACACTAATAATTTTTTAATTTCTTAGAAATTTTGTTTATTATACTAATAATTTTCTTACATTGACAATAATTAAATTATTTCATCATGTTTGTTTGTATCATAATTTTTTTTATTTTATTCAAGCCCAATTATTTTCTGTCTTATAGAGGCAATTTTCCAATTCATATAAAACGACATAGTAGTTTATATTAAACGGTAAGTTTGTTTTTCTCTTGTCTCATGCATATTGGTAAACTCTGTTGATTATAAAATTTATATTTATGATGGATTTAATTATAATGATCACGTAAATATATAATTTTATACCTTACTTCTACTATTATTAATTTTTATTAGTCATATATTTATATTGAAATTTAAATTACATTCTTATATTATTTTAATTCAGAACTATACCTTTAAATTAAAAACAAAAGATTGCTCTTTTAAGCTACCCACTAAATCACAAAAAAATGTTATACTTATACTTATATATATAATTTAAGCTTTATAAATATTATTAAATAGTAATTTGGTATAATTTTCAAATATATTTCTATTTCGATATTATAAATATTTAGTTTTAAATTACCGAATTAACTATTCATATACATTATGAAAATTGTTTAATATAATGAAAAATGAAAAAAGCAATAGTAAAAATTGTTAGATGCAACATTTATCAAAAATATAAAAGTTTATATATATGTGAAGAAGTATTTCTCCAAAAAAATAGATGGATTAACATTGAAATTTTTGGAAATATCGATGAAAGTTATGTAAAGATTAAATAGGTATACTATAGTCCATGGCATATCTAAAATAGCATAAAAGAATTTAATTTATTGACCTTAAATAAAAAATTAATTCCAGGACAATCTATAATGATTTATAATTTTCTGTATTATAATTTTCCTTCCGTTATATTTTATTTATTTGGATTTACATCAATTTTTAAATAAATTAGTGTTGTAACATTTTCATCAACATCATCAATGTTATCAACTATTTAAGTCTTAAAAATTAAAATTGTTTTCTTAACTATTATATCAACTGTAAATCATAATTATAAATTGAACATACTAGAAAATTGGAATCAAGGTGTGAAAAATAAAAGAACAGATGATTTTGGATATGGTGTATGTAAAATTTTGAAACACAAATTTTTCATAAATTTATATAACATTATGTATGGAGTACTGAAAATATATGTTGTTTATAAAATTAAATATGTTACAGAATTAAAAACTAATTTAGTAGCAATAAATCAAGAAAAACTTGATTAAAAAACAAAAATTAGTCGCTGGGTGAAATAATTATCGAAAACAGATAATTGAATAATCAATAATTTAATGATTTTTAATTATACATGTACATATCTTCAAGTCAACTCTTATTAACCATCTACTAGTCATTTCAGTTGTTAATCTAAATTTTCCGAGATATTCTTTTTTGCACGAGTTCAATTATCTATACAAACAAATAGTTTTTATTCCTCAAAAAACAAAAATTTTTAAAGAGATGTTAGAATTAATAGTAATTATATAATACACGATCATTACTGCTTTATTATATTATTACTAATGGATATAGATACAATACATTTTTATTACTTTGTGAGTTGATATAAGAAGCTAATGTAACTAATACAAATTCTACGGGAAATAGAAATTTTTATATTAATATAAAAAGAATATGTTGTTGATAAAATATATAATTCTATAAATGACTTGCAAAATATTAATAATTATTGAATCTTTATATATGATCTGATTTGTATGAAATATGAAAATAATACTATATATATATATATATATATATATATATATGTATATAAACAAGTGCTACCTAATATAAAAAAGATGATATACTAATTTTTTATTTTTGCATAATTAATATATTTATGATTAATTTCTGTACGTCATATTCAGATAAAAAAATATAAAAATCTTTGTATACAAAACATGGACATTAATAAAATATTCTAAAAAGTACGTATTTTTATTTTCGGAAAAAAATATCGTTGTATACATTTTTTTTCATAAAAAGTATTAGGTATTTATGTTCGACTTAACATACAATAAAATTAATTTAGTGTAGAAAAATGAGCCATTTTATTTTTTAATGAATCTTTCATATATCTTTGACGCTGTTCATAATAAAATTGTATATCAATTGTAAAAATATTGTTTCTTTAGCGGTTAAACAATTTTTTTAGCATATTATTATTAATTAATATATTGATAAGATGCTTCTTTATTAAATTATGAGATTTAATAATAATTAAAATAGAAAAAAATAATTATAAAAAAATATGAGACACTATTGAAATAATATAGTAAGGTTTTTTGGTTAAATATTTTATGAAAAAATTTCCTTGACAAATAAAAAAAATATTTTATATGTCAAAAATGATAAACACTATTTCTTTTATTAAATTAAATTTTTTTCTAAGATTCTGAGGTCTGCGTTTTATAAAGTAAAAATAAAATTTAAAAATTTGAATGAAATAAAGATACCATGTTGATAAATACATAAATATTATAAATTGAACATGCATAACAAATAGTAATATGATAAAAAAATTATACAATTGCATATATAGGATTCAAATTTATTTAATTTTTAAATTTTTTATATTTACTAATCATAATAAGATTTTTCACTTGAAAAAATTTAATATTTCGAAATTGATAATTTTTATTTAAAGTTACGTATTTTTGTAAATTGAAAATTAGTTTTTGTTCTTTAAATAAAAATAAGTCATAGATTGTTTTTAACGTTTATTTTTGTAAAATGTTAATAAAAGGTAGATTATATTTTTGTCAACTGGTTTTTCTAAATAATTAAGGACATTTATATTTGTCAAATGGAGGATATCACTTAAAAAAAAATTAAACATAATACATTTTTCTTTTTTTATATGTGATTGTCAAAACGTCTGTTTTGATCCTTTTATTGTGCTGTTTTGAAGTAGATAAATTCTACTATCAAATTTTATACTGCTCGTATGACACGTGATGAATAAGTATTAAAATTAAATTTTGCTTTAGTGAAAGTAGTATATATATATATGTTGTATCACAGTAGATTAAAAATTTTAATAAAATAGAAATTAAAAATTAGTTGTCAAATAGATTTTAAATAAAATTTTATTAGGTGACTGATTTATTTTAAATTTATATAGGTTTGTCGTAGAATTGTTGCAAAAAACAGACCTTGGCATATCTTGAATAGCACTGAATGTCACGAGAGCACTGCCAATCGGTGTAGATGTTTGGCTCACACGCTCCCTCACATCGTATGCCGTTATGCGCAAGCAAGAATCGGTACTGATACCATCACTTGTCCGAAAGCTAACTGTCTTTAGAAAACCTGGATTACTGCTTCGCTCCACAATTTCTGTACGTGTATATTTCACCCAAGTTTTAGAGTGACAAGTTTGAACTTCTATTTCCAAAACGGCGTTGGGAGGTCGACCATGACCATCGCATAATAGATTGTCGCATGCAAGTGATATCTCACAAATGGGAATCTCTGCAGGATCTATTGAAATTATTTATTGTGTATTGGTTAATATTTATGAAATTTGTCATACTAATGATTTCATACATTATTAAAAGTTGACAATTAACTATTAAAATATATTCTTCATTAATTTTGGATAAAATTGCTTAAAAACAAATTTTTTTTTTTAAATTATCTGATTATATATTTTCAATATATTAAAGGAGAAAAATATAAATTTTTTATATGCACTTAATTAATTCCATAGATTTTTAATTCTTTTCTATAAGTATTTAAATTTTTTTATAAAATATGCTACTTCTTACAATTCAACAAGTTGAAAAAAAGATTCAAATTATGAAAAATGTCTAAAGTTACTATTTTTGTGCGACTTTAACAATTTGCTTAAATGCAAAGATAAATTTTTGAACAGTTGTAGGGTATACATAAAATTGATGAATGAAAAGAATTTTTTTTTAATAGATTCTTATTTTATTTAAATTTTAAATGGTTTTCAAATTAAAAGTTGTTTATCAAAAAATAAAAATCAAGTTTAAGATAAATTTGATTACAGTCACATGTATATAAAAGCTTAGACCGTTTTTGAATTGCTAAATTAGAATACAAAAAATGTAGAAAAGTGTTTGAATATGTGGGCTTAAGTTACACTTTTGAATATTTAATAAAATTAATACAAATTGAATTATCTATATTCAATTTTTATATAAGAAAGAAAATGATTTTTAAATATTTTTTTTATTTAATAAAGATATTTATAAATAATTTATACCAATATAATAAAATTATATAATATTTATGTATATGTAAAAAATATATATTAAACAAATAATTCTTTTTATGTATAAAGTAAATATTTTCAATAAAACCATCTGCAATTCCTACTTTAATGTATAATTTCTTTTAAATATTATGCAAACCGTGTACATTTTTAAACTTTAAAAAAATTAATAACAAACCTGCCGTAATACCACATTTTACTCGTAACATCTGGATGTCTGTGTCATAATTATGATTAACTGACGTTTCTATTCGTTGTCTCAGTGCCAATAGTTGACTTCGCATGAACTCATAACTAGCTAAATGCAGAGCTTGCAGCCAGCTGTCTCTATCTTCTAAAGAATTTGCGCCAAGTTGTTGATAGATACCACCGACAAATACTATTGAATTCCATTTAAATATTCTCTTTTGTCAATCTTAATTTATTGATAATTAGTGATAATTTTTCGTATAAGTTATTTATTTATCAAGAATATAATGATGAGCATAGTATAGAAGAATGATATTTATTATATTATAATCCTTATGTTTCGTTACGTTAAGAATAATTTATTTATATTTCTTAATTTTTATAAGAATTCCTTTTTCCAAATTTGTGTTCAATTAAAAAAAAAACTATAAAAATATATCTTCTGAAAATTTTATACAAAAAATCATGTTTTATTTGTAGTTTATAACTAAAGAATTTTTCAAAATTATAAAAAATAATTTTTTTATAATTATTTATTTAAAATATTTAAATTTAATTTAGTTCGTTTAAATATTAAAATATCAATAGCTATTAAAATTTTGCTTTTGCTGTACAATATATAAAACTCAAAATACTGTATAAAACATATATTATTAAATTATATTATTAAACATTAATTAATTATATTGAAATTATTGGATCAATAAAAACTTAAAAAGTTCCAAAAATTTGTCTGATGCTATTTTTTTGTTGACCACAATTATTAAACATTTTTTATTTATTAATGATAATTAATTGTATTTTAACGAAATGTTTTAATAAAATATCTTACCTATACTAAATCCATAGGGAATCTGATTAGTTTGCTGTTCAACGCGAATAGAGAACTGCTCAAGTATGATAACACCAACTGGCTCAGACCATTGTTCTTTTGACTTGAAATAAAATAAGAGATTTCCCCGCAATCTGCACCATCTCTCAAGACTTACTGCGAGCAAGAGCATTCAAATTATTGATTATATTCAAACACCTAATGAAACTCACATAGTGTTTAACGTTAAGTATATAGTACTAAGGTGAAGAAGATAAATGATAATACCAATTCTTTATTGTTATATATTTTCATATAGAAAAAAGATATTAGCTTTGATATAAATAATATAAATAGAATAAGAATGTTAAATTACAATACAAACAAGAGAACAAAGGGAAAAAATACTGGAAAAGAAGCTGAAAAATTTTAGAAATAAACTTTCTTTACCAGACATTTAATTTAATAGAAAAGAACATTTATAAAACATTTTGACTATAATTTACATTGGATGTATAATTTATATTAGAAGGAATTTTGTAAATAATATTTATCATAAATTAGATAAACTATAATAATTATATAAGTGTATTCTTAACTTTTATTTTAAACTTTATTCATTTATTCTCTAGAGCAATTTAAATATTAAAAATCATGTAATTGCGTTTGTGATATGTTCATATAAAATTTTCTGTTCTTTATATGTAACTATAATAGAATAAAATAAAAATTGTGACTTTAAATATATTTGATATTTTTTAAGAATAGAGATTTATATGTATATATAAAAATAAGTTAAAAATAACTAATTATGTAAAATTTTGAAATTTTAAGTTTTATAAAGCCTGATTGACTCTCCCATAAACTTAACAAAACTAAACATTTTATAATATAACTTAAATATTTCGTCAATTTTATAACCATGAATATTTGTATATGATTTTATTTCTTTTCATATGTTAATGAAATAATCAAATGAAGTAATACCAGAATTACTATTTATTGAAAGTACATTTAAATATTGTTAATTTTGAGGATAAACATAACTATATTAACTATTTATTTTTAATTTATCAATTTATTTTATAATAATTATCATTAAATAAAAATATAACAATCTATTACACTTTTCCAAACGTACATATAGGAGTAGAGATTCGAATTTTAAATTAATCAATCAAAACATTACACATAAATTAAATATAAAAATATTAAAATTTTTTTCATAATCTGATTGAATATTCCATGTATCGTAATAGTTGATTAGAATATTATATTAAAAAGATTCTGATTTATTTTGTAATTGAATATAAATAAAACTTATACAAAATGTATGATATTCACACAATTGATTCCAAAACTATTATTTTTTCGTACAGATATAAATAGTTTTACATAATATATAGGTATGTTTATCAATATATAGATTTATAATATATTATAACAAGCTAAATAAAAACATATAAAAATACTGCTTTAATAACTTTTAAAAATATAGTTTTTATTAATTTGATAATATAATTTGAATTATTTTTAATGAAAATAATATATACGCGTATTATTAATTTAAGGTCAATTACTTTCCACATATATTCATACTAAATTGCACGTTCAAATTAAATTATATGAAAGAAAATTTGTTCTACAAATACAATAATATGTTCAGACTTTTAACAATAATTAATATATGTAAAATAATAAAAAACTTTATATTTAGTGTAATTTTTACAAAAGACTTGCAATGTTCAGATTCCTTTGATATATTGACATATCTATTATAATGTTATGACTGAAAATTCACAAAATAAAGATATTTTTATAAAAACTATTTTAAAGTATAATCAAATTATAATCAAATTTTTTTCAGAAAAATTTTTTGAATAGTGTTCTAATAAGGTTAATACTTGCATGCAAATTAATTAAATTTCAAACTAAAGTAAATCGTGTTATAAACAAATGTAAATACCTTCTAATACATGTGTTAGCATTAATCTAAAGAGTTTCTAACTATTAAATAAATGATAAGCTATATGACATAATAATCGAGTTGATATTTGTCGATATAAATTAATTTGCTGGCTACCATACGGGTAGTGCATAGAGTAATTTTATTAAGCTGGCACAGTACCAATTTAATTTTGTCATGTATATCAATGTGCATATATATATATATTTATACCATTATAATATATTTATTTATAATATGATTTATTTATATATATAATACTATAATATATTTTCTAAAAAATTTGCCAAATTGGATGTAATATTTTTTGCATAATAAACTGTTAAAAAATTTTTAGAGATTAAATAAATATTTGAATTATACTCGTAGGTTTTTTAATTATTTTTATTACAAATTATAAAAATACATAGAAATCGTGGAATATGCAAGAAATGTATAAAATATTTGTGATACATATTTGAACATTTTTTACATTGACTAAAAAACTATAATCAGTTCATAAATGATTACTACACAGATAATTCTGTTTAAAAATTTCTTAAATTATTCTCAACATTAACTGACTATAATTGGTTTTAAAATAAAGCGACCTAATTATTATTTTTATTACAATAAATAATTATTCAAATAAAATTCATTTCACTATTATTTATTATAAAAGTATCTATAATAATAGTATATAATTTATAATAATATATAATAATTTTTAAAGTATGAAGTATAAAGTATAAGCTTTAAAGATGTTTTTATAAGTTTAAGAAAAAATGAATTACTAATTGACTTTTAAAAAACGATCATTAATAATCTTATTGATCTTTTATTTTTAATTAAATTTCATACATTTTTTAAAACTTTTCATTACATTATTTATAAAAAAAAGATCTATAAAGATGTTATAACTAAATGCAGTATTCTTACTCTATTTACTTTTATTATTTAGTATTTAGTGTCGGCAAATTTCTTAAAGTGCATTATTTATATTTCATAATAACAGCGCTCCTCACATTTTGTTAATAAAGTTCACAGTCTTATAATCTTGAGGTAAAAATTTCATTCATTTATTGATTTTGATAATGTATTTTTATATTTTAAAAAATAAAATAAAATAAACTAGGAACTATTGATGGTATTATTTTTTCGTAAATACGGCAACAATAATGTATTAGAAAATATACTTAAAAATATGTTAGTGAAAGTACTATGAAAAGAATAAATTTATTACACTAAAACATTTCTCTCAGAGAGTTTAAATAATTTTAGACACTAAAATTTGAATGTTTTATACTTTACTCTCTTCTAAAAAAAATCAATTTTATATTGCAAATGGATTTTCCATCTTATATAATTAAAATTATTAATTAATATTAAATGGCAATTAAATATCTGTAAATAAAACAGTTTAAGGAATTATTTTTTAGCTGTCAATTAGTCTTATTTTACTGTAAAAACTGTTGTTTTATAAAACGTTTAAGATTTTTTAAATTTTTGTCTTGGTTATTACTGATTTTTTCCATTGAATTATTTTAAAAAGACCATTTTTTATAAATATTTTAAAGAAAAATAAAACAATAAAACTTTTTGAAAGTAATGTTCAAGTTGAAACTGATAAATTCGATCGACGGTACCTTTACTCGTACTGGCTGAAACGCAACTGAAGTCTCGAAGTGTCTTATGTGTTTTTTCCTTTTGTTTTTTGCTGTCAAGTTTTTTATTTGTACCTGGAAATTTTATGGAGGTACTGATTGTTATTGGACATGCACCGTACGATAATGTATAAAATAACAAAGTTTAATTAATTTAAAGACTATTAAAAAATATGATTATACGAGTTCTCAAATTTATAGGTTAAAAGAATAAGAAAGTATTATCCAAAACATATATCAAGGTTAAGTTTTTTATAATTTACTACATACTAATTATAAAAATATTATGCTATTTATTACTTCTATAAATTCATATAAAATAACTAATAAGAGAAAATAAGATTATAATAAAATGAATTATTAGAATTGGTAATATTTTTTATGATTCTGAATATGAATTTCTCTGCAAAACTAATAAACCATTATAGATTTTTGTAGTAAATATATTAAATGAAATATAAATAATAATTTTTAACAAGTGATTACAAGTCTTAACGTTTTTTAGTTTTTTATTACAATTAAAATACAATACTGTTCCAAGAAACCACAGAATTTTAGTTTGTTACTATTAAGTTTTTCTTGTATTGTGAAATATTTAAAAATATTTAAATATTTTATAATCTACACTTAAACATCAAATAAATTAAGGGCACTTTATATAAATGAATGATTTTAGGTATTGAATGCTATCTCATATTATTTTATAAGAATGTAATACTAATGGATTATTACAGATCTACAAAAATAAATGTTAAATGTTTTTAAATTTAAATTGTTATAAATGTACATTAATTATCATAAAATATATATTAATAAAATTGTATAAGATATCAAGAACTGTTTTATATTGTACATATTTTTAATAATTATATGCAATATTTGAAATATATGGTTCTGATTCTGTGAAAATTTATAGAAAATATCCAAAGTTATTATGAGGTAATATGTTAGCATTAAGGGAAAATTTTAAAAAGATTATTCTAGCTTTTTATATAATATCAAAATGATTATTTAACAATATTTTTAAAACAATGAAGAAGACTATTTTGATAGAATTGATATTAGAATATATACTTTACCATAAATGGTATATTTTTAACAGAAAACAGTTCTAAATGATAACATTCTTAAATATGTCCATTTGTAATTATAAAAATATGGAAATGTATAACATACATTTTACACTCTATTCTCTTAAATTTTTTTTACATTTTTTCCTTTAAAATTTTTTTAATGCAAACTTAAAACATTAAAATATTTGAGTAATATTTTCTTTATTGTTATTGTTTAAAGTATTTTAATTGAATAGTTTAATATAATTTTACATAAGTTACAAATCAATTAAAGTCTAATGTTTATACCTTCGTAAAAGTATCAATAATCTTGATTTGAACAATTATTAAAATTTTGTTTTACCCACGAAGTTGAATGATAAATATAAATTAAATTGGTTTTCCTAAATTCCTAAGCATTGCAGGTATAATTATGTACAATTTTTTTTGAAAGTAAACAAAGCTTGAATTTCTATTATAAATCATTATAAATATTATTATATATAATTTATCAATTTTTATAATTTTTTTCAAGTTTTAATATTTTAAATTTTCTATAATCAAGGTCCATAAAAATAAATGTCCATTTATATTTTTGTTGAATGATATAAAAATTTCATAAATATATCTAGAATATATATGTAAAATACCTATCACTTATATAAACGTATAAATTTATTGTTTATTCTATAAACAAATTTTTTAACAACTAAAATTATACTGCTTATTTTAAGCTCATTTTGCAGATAGAAAATATATGAAATTTAATTCATGCATGAAATATATACTAACACAGCTTTTCTAATTATTACAATTATAATAATTTTTAAAAATGAATAGATTTGATATAAATAATTAGGATAAATATATTTAACTAGATATTTTTTAAATAAATATCTAATATAGCACAGGTAATTTTCATCTAATTAATTAAGATTTTATTGAAATATTTTTTTTCACATTAAATACTTTAGAACTTATATTTAGAAATAATAAAAATATGAATATAAATATAATAGCATGCAGCTATTGTATAACCTAAAAACTGTACAATCTAGACTATTGGTAAAATAAAAAAAAATGAACGATGTAATATAAACATTATTAGAATTTTAATAGATATATCAAATAATAAAAACTTACTCTCTGTTCGACGAAAGAAGCTTTCTTGTCGTTCTCGTAGATAAAGTATACCTTCTTTTTCAAATTTTTGTGAAGGCTGAGTAGCCAGAGCCATTAACTCTTGCTTGTTAAACCTCATCTTTATAAAAATCACCAATTTATCTGTTATCTATAACATCTTTTGCTGACAAATTATCAATCAGTTTGATTTGATTCAAACGATATATTTATAAATCCATTTTTTAACCTAGTCTCATTATCTAAATTATATATTTACAGTATTATATGCTAATATTTTTGGAAAGTGAAATACTAATATATTTTTTATAATAATACTATATCTACATTTATACAAGATAATAATGTTATTAAATTTAATAATCTAATTTATAATTATATTTATAATAATTATATGTATCTTATTATATAATTAGCTTATGGTATCCTAATTGATATTAAATATTCTATACTATCAGAAATGATAAAATTTGTAAAAAATTTTATTTCAATATTAATCACATATAAAAAAAAATGTTTATTTAAGAGTCTAATTATTGAATAAAGAATTAATATCTTACATTTTATTGTAGAATGTCTGAAAATAAAAGCAAAATCATTGTTCCAACTTTATGTATAATTATCCAACATTCCCCTAATGAATTATTCACTGTCTTAATAATCAACAGAGATTTATCAATTACAAAATGTAACACTATTAAACAAATTCTACATATCTTTTTGTTTTATTAGTATTTGACTTCATTATACGCTTTGGCAGGTAACTGAATGTTTAAATGCATACGTATATTGGAATAGATTTTTACTAAATTTTTTCCGAATTATCTATTATCTCCATTAAAAAAAAAATCCGTATACGCCGACGAAGTAACTATATAACACGATTGTAAAAATATTGATAACTGTAAATGTGTATGATCAATAATAATTTATTTATAATTTAAAAATATTTGTAACATTAATTAGATACACTGCTAATACCTCAATATGAAGTAATAGAAACTAGAATTAAACCTGAATTACTGAAAAATGACTACTATCTATTAATATTAGATTGCCTTTGCGTTTTTGACTAGTGAGTAGCAACACATCGATTCATGATAGTTTTTCTATCTCTCTCTCTGTTTCATTTTTCCAGTCTAACCTACTGTATGTTTAACAACTTTTTTTTATATCGTAATGTAAAATAAAAAATTCTAATATTGTGTAGAAATTTTTAGTGCAATTTAATTTATAAAGTCATTTAAAAATGAATCTTTTTTCTTTTATTGTGTATTATAGTGACGTAATATCATAATGTCACAATATTTTATTTTAAATTATATTATTGTATACATTCAATTATTCTGTTGAGAATTAAAATAAAACATTATTTAGAAATGGTAGATTTATTTATACTTATTATTACAGTTTTTAAATCTTATTTATAATTTAATTACTTTTAGCTTTTAAGGTAAATTATGATTAAAATTTTAGTTTTCCACGATCTAATTTGTAGAATAACTATTTTTTTTTAAAGAAAGTTTTTTTTTAGACTGCTATACATATTTATATGTGTACGTAGCAGAAACAAATTTTTCTTTAAAATATTTTAAATCGTCAATTATTAAATTAATACATTTTAAAAACCTAATTTCTATTCCATAGAGATTAAGATGAAAAATTGAATTTTATTTGGGATTTAGAAGATCTACTGTAGTTTATGTTTATGATTGTATATAACATATAATAATAACCTGATTGAAATTGCCGTGTAAATATGGAGATATTTCTTGCTGCTTCAAAAAATTGCGTGGTAATAATATTTGTTTATATTTTTATTATTAAATTTTACTATGTTTCAGTATATTATGATTTATGATATTTTTTCAAACTAAAGATTATAAGCGTTTCAAAATATTAACTATTTTAACTATAAATGTTAAAAATTAATATATAGATGTAATTAATATATAGAACAAAACTTTAAATTTAATTTTATTATCCATGTACGTTTTAAACAACAAATGTTTTAACTATTAATTATCGAAATACTTTGTTACAATTCAGATACAATTAGCAACATTTATATCAAGTCATCGATGATAATTAATCATTTATTTAAAAAGTAACAAAAAATATAAGAGAAACAGTCAAAGTTAAGCAATTTAAGTTTGAACATGAAAATATCAAAATGTTTAATATTAATATTTTCAAAGTCACAGAAAAGTAACTATTAAAATTTGTTATTAAAATTATTAAAATATAAAGCTTATATTCATTTCTCATTAATATTAAATATTTAATTTTTATATAGATAAATAATTCATATAAATTAATATTTAATATCATAGAACTAACTAATATATTGTATAACTTCTTAATAATTCATATTAAGATATTTTAATGCTTTGATAATATTTGTCATAATACATATGTATGGAATATATATCAATCACTTGAAAGCTTTTTTTCAAATTTTTAAATATTTTGTAAAGCGTCATAAATCTTCTTAGCAAATTTTTCTTAATAAATGTAATATTTGAATTCAACAAAATTAATAATTTTAAAAATAAGTTGAATAATGACAATTATATTATTACAATTATATAAATTGTAATAAATCTTATTATAATTATAAGAACAAATTTAATCAAATAATTTATGACTTTCAACAATAAATATATTTTTTTTAAGTTCTATTGATTTAAAACATATAATTTAAATTTGCGATATTCAAAAAAATATTCAATGATAATGGAATAAAAAATGTGTAGATAATTTTGAATTTTGAATTATATTATTAAATTTTATCTTAAAATCAATCTAATATTAAGTAAAATGTCATTGAAATACTCAGTAATAAATAATACATCCCTGTTTGTATTTATGGAATAAATAAATAATTTATTAAATGGTATTGTGAAGTTAGTATTATAATAAATAATTTTTTATTAGATATTTTTAATTAACAATTAAATTGAAAATTAGATTTACATTGAACTATCTAATTAAGAGTTGTAAATTTTGAATCATAGATAGTTGACAATAATACAATAATGTTTACATATTTTATCATATTTTCACATTATATAATTATTTATATTATTCAGAATTAATTTTTTAAATTCATTTAGTTTGCACACTAATAGATTTATTTGATATATATGTAAGCATATTGATTATATTTAGAGTATCAAGTTATATTAATGGAACATTACTAATTCATACATTAATAATCAAAATAACTTTATTAATTACTAAAATATATTTTATTTTATTTATGTTAATTAAATTATTTGTCATGTGAAATATGTAGTTTTTATATGTAATCATAATTAATGTTTAAGTAATACTCTACAGACGAATACATTTTTCTTTGTTTTATAATTTATATAAGTGTGGATATTATATAAATAATACAATACTTGTTATTTACTAGAATTTTACTAGAATTTACTAGAATACTTAAATTTTAACATTATTTTTAAAAAATGTGAATTATTTTTTACTATTTATAGATAGTATAAAAAATACTACTACAATATGAATATAACATAAGTATGTAAATTACTATTAAAGCGGTAGTGCAAAATAAGAAAAGAGAAACGATATAAAGTATAAAAAAGAAAAGTAAATATCAAAGAAAACGGCAAATAAGAAAAATAAGGAAAAAAACATTGTCTGAGATCAGACAGAAAACCTCCCATTGATGGTGGGTAGAGGTGTTGCGGGCAAGTGGAGGAGGCAAATGCAATTCTTCAATTCTACACAGAGTGTATCTTGTCTTTCCTTTATTAAATACAATAATATAACAATTAGATAATGGTCATAAAGTGTATGAATGGAGAGTGTGAGTGAATTATTTGATGAAGTTTCTTAAATTATTTTACTTGCTGGTGAGAGTGTGTATACTCTCGGTAGTGTGAGGTGTGACTCCTACCTTTCACGAGAAGTGTCGCTGTTGTAGCCGGCGCGTACTAAAGGAGCGAGTGAGACGATGCTGCCTTAGCCGCCGGTGCGAGCGCGAGCGCTGCCGCTGTGGTGTGTTTGTAAGGAACGTGCGTGTTGCCATTGCTGTTTACGTAGGCGTGAGGTTCTCCGGTATTGGTCTCGTGTAAGGAACGTGCGTGTTGCCGTTGCTGCTTACGTTGGCGTGAAGTCCGCCGGTATTGGTGTGGTGTAAGGAACGTGCGTGTTGCTGTTGCTGATTACAGAGGCGTGAGGTCTGCTGGTAGTTGTATCTTGGTTGCGATACGTTGGTATATGTTCTGGCTGTAGTCTCGTTATTTTCACTCTTAATTTATGTCTGCATTGGCGCTTCTTGAGTATAGTTTTACGTTTAAGTTTAACGGATTGTAATGGTGTGGCGTCGCTATTGGTTTTTGTTGAACTGCTTGATGCTTACGTACGTAAATAGTTACAGTGAGTGATGCCTGTAGTGGTAATGAGAGTCTTCAATATGCTGCAATGAATCTTTCCGATGAGTAATCGCTCACCGCTTCGAGGTGTAGAGCAGATGTAGCTAGGCACACGAATACATAGATCCAAGCCTTGTAGATTTCGGCTCCTCGTCCCTTCCAGGTCATTATTGTCAATGGGCCAGCATTTTCAACGCCAGTGTGGGTAAATGGTCGTGAGGGCGTTACTCGCGCGAGGGGTAGTTGACCCATTAGTTGGCTGGCGCGAATTCCTCTTTGTTTGGCACAGACGACACATCGTAGTATGTGTGATTATACAGCTGGCCGACCTCCCAGTATCCAGTACTATTGGCGAGTGTATGCTCGTGTGATTTGGGTACCCCCGTTAAGTGTTTTGACATGTGCTTGATCAATGATGAGATTTGTAAGTTGTGATAATTTTGGGAGATAATGGCTGGATGTTGTCCTCTGTTATTGAAGCGTTCATTAGTTTTCCAACAACTCTGATGATACCTTGTGCATCGATGGAATGCATGTGAGAGGGGGGGCAATTTTTTTGGGAATTCAGTAATCTTAATTCGTGGGAGAAGTATGTCTTGTGTTAGTCGAATCCACTGAATTCTTGCTTGGTCTATCTCCCCGTGTGTCAGCTGACCCTTTGAGGTCTGTTCCTCTTTCAGGCATGCAATAAATCTGATGCATGTTGATGTTATTCTCAATAGTCTATTGCGTGACGGGTATTTGTAAATGATGTTCCAATCATAGTCGGGCTTGTCAACTGTTGCGACTAATGAGATGTTTGGGCGAGCTTCCTGAATACATTGCTTATCCCCTTCTGTTGGTTGTCTTGGCCATGGGTCTAGTGTGGTTATCCATGGTGGTCCAGTCCACCACAATGGATGGTCCTTGAGTTGCTGAGTTGGTAGTCCTCTGGAGGCGCAGTCTGCTGGGTTTTGACGCTCCTGGCACATATTTCCATTGTGCTTCTGAGGTAAGTTCTTCAATCTGGGTAACTCTGTTGCAAACGAATTCCTTCCATCGTGATGTGTGAGATTTAATCCATGTTAGCGTTACTCGAGAGTCAGTCCACAAGTGCGTAGCTCTTACCTTCATATTTAGTGTGGTCTTGATATGTGCCATGAATTTTGATAGTAGTAATGCAGCTGCTAATTCTAGTTTTGGGATTGTAAGTTTTTTAAGTGGTGCCACCTTCGTTTTTGAGCATATGAATACAGTGTTCGCATTATTGGTGTCGTGAATTGATATATATATGACTGCGGTCATTGCGAGTTGAGATGCGTCTGCGAAGCCGTGTAATTCGATGATGGATGAGTTTTCTGTTTTGAACCATCGAGGTATTGTTAATTCATTCAGCTTTGACAAGTCCCTTCTGATAGTGCGCCATCGATCAATGACTTGGTATGGTAGTGGATCCTTCCATCTGACAGTGTGCTCTTGGAGCAGCATCTTGGTTCTTATTACTACTAGGGAAGCAAATATTAATGGATCAAATATTTTGGCAATGTCAGATAGAATTGTGCGTTTTGAAGAGGCAGTTGTCTGTATGGGCAATGATGTTGAGAATGTAATTATGTCTTCGTAAGGTCTCTGTTCGGAAAATAATCCCACAATTTGACTAGTCTGCCAAACGTGCAATAATTAACGTAGAACAATAAAACCCACTAGATGTTATGTGGGGTTGCCGGGCAAGTAAAGGGTGAATGCACTGATTAATAATTAACACATGTCTTTATTATTTCTATTTATTTGAATTGATTTACAAAAGGGTGAATTACAGACGAACTTTATATTTCTTGATAATCTTGTGGTGTTGAAATATATTTACTATGAATGAAGCAGGTTATAATCTATTGAATATTATCGCTAAGAGGTTATCATGATTGTAGTGCTCTGATCGAACACTGGAATGCTATTGTGTTTATCTTAATACGTGTGTAGTTGCCTTTAAATATCGGTCGTAAGAGAGCCGAGATGGAGGTTATGCGAAGCTGTGCGCCATCTGTGGCGGGAACAACTTGCAGTTGGAGGGATTGAGAAGCTAATGTGGCGTTTATAGCTGGTCTTGTTCAAGAGTATGTCCGGGAAGCTTCCGTAGTTGGACTTTATCCGTCCGTCTTTTACATAAGCCGAGAAATCAAGAATGAGTACTAGCTGTAAGGACTTACTTGCAGTGTATCGTGATTTTCCAGTCTCTCTTCGATGGCTTGTTATTACGTTCCCTTGCAATGTTGCAACTCTTCAGTTCTTCCTTGTCTCCAAGTGAGACCTCAAGTGGTCAGGTCCCACGCAATCCAGTCTTGATGAGATCAATTCAACTGTACACTTATTCACAATAGTGGAAAGAACTTATTATTAAAACTCAGCTAGCTAAACGACTCATCTCTCCGATCCTCCTCCGTGAGAGTTGGTCGTGACTTATCCTTCACTGTAAAAAGTATTTGGAAAGAGTAAGTGAGGGTACATTACGTAGTCCCTTCTTAAATGATTCACTGATCCCGCTCCACTTGGGATCCCTTCTTCCTTTATTAATTAACCAATCACTGGTTGATCTTGGGTCGCACAATAGATTATGCACGCCTTCATTTCCACTTCCTTCCGGGCTCAGTTCCGAATTTGCTAATTGGGAAAGTGTCGGAAGGTGGCGAGCCTTTTCCATTGGTCACCTATCTTTGGTTGCCTCATCCCTCTCTGGGACTTGGCTAGAAGAAGGATCCGCTTGGGCGTGGTCAATTTTCCAATACGATCGACCAGATGTGGCATAGCCAAGAACAATGCAAGCATTGTCTTAAAGGCCGAGTGCGCACGTATGGTCATTGCATGTGTAGTACGTACGGGTTTTCGGTTGCAGTAAATATTTGTACTCAATGCTTCACGCATATCTGATATTCGTTCTGAATCTACTTTGGGGTTCTCGCGGCAGTAAACCCATTAGGTTCTACTGCACTGGGAGTATGAGCACGTTCCGCTAGAGTTTTCCAGATGTTTTATGACACTAGTACAAATAATTATGAGCAAGAAAGTTTTGAAGTCTTAAATACAATTTTCATGACATTACTCGTCAGATATTTTATTGCCTTACTAAACGGAGTCTCTTATTCTCAAACAGTCTCCATTGTAATCCAAGGATCTTTGTTGTGTGATCGCTGAATGTTATTGACTGTTCTAGGTTCTGGGATGCTCTGATGGCGGTGATGACTTCCTCTCTTGTAGAGTGCCATTTTGTCAATGAAAAACCACCTGCCATGCATGATCTTGCAGTTGTTTCGCTGTTTCTACTAGTTGCTGTGGGGTATCTGTACCCCCCAAAAATGTCATCAATGTATCTCCCATACTTAATGGATGGTAATGCCAGTAGATATCCTGGTGAATATTTACCTGTCTATACATTTTGATGATGTCTGTCGAGAATAGGTATCAGTGTCTGCGTATCCAGATTAGTACGTCTATGATATCCGGGTTCAGGTTAGCTCGTGTGTCCATTAGATCGTTTAGTGAATGTCCCGATGTTGAAGGGCTTGATCCGTTAAATACCATTCTCAATTTGGTGGTAGAACTGTCTGAAAAAAGGACGAGTATGATTTTTTACATAGTGGTTTTCACACCGTTGTTGATCGGGGTTGTACTGGTATTCTATGTCCCTTGGTCATCTTCTTGTATCCAGAATTTTGTGAGTAATTCTTGTAGAGTGTCTTCCAGCTCTTGGGTAATGATGGTCATCGATGTTATCGTCATGGTGCAGTCATTGACTGGTCCATTTACTAGCCAGCCTACGATGGACAGTTATGCAATGGGCATGGACGCTGAGTGTTTGATGATATTGGGTTTAATGATTTGTCCATACATGTCGGCTCCATGTACAATGTCCGCTGTAATGTTTTCGCATATTCTTGATCGGCTAGTGGTAATCCTTCAATGTGTGGCCGCGTGCATTATAAAAGGTCATGGAATGGAAGTAATATGGATAAAGACTTGAAGATATAGGCATGAACTGTGACTGAATTGTGAATGTGATAATCCCTAGTGTTTGTATCGGTGACGTCCTGCCTATTCCATATATAATGACAGTGGATTTTCTTCAATCCCGAACATGCATAAAGAATCAAACATAAAAGAAAAAAATCTATATATATACGATAGATTTATTCCAGTGTTTACCTGAAAATTATAATAATTGTAATAGAAAAGTGTAAAGATAAAAGATATTAACAAAGCCTTGTTAAAATCGATTGGTCCAGCTTAAATATATAATTAAGAAATAACTTCTATACTTAAATTAAAAATTAACTATTCAAATCAGTAATTTATAAAAGAATTTCTATTATTTCTAGAATTACAATTATGTTAAATATATTCAATATATTGTATAGAATAAATTAAATTTTTAACAATTATATATATCATTTTTATCTATAAATGATATTAAAATTTTATAATGCTATATAGTATTTTCACACGAAAACGTTTCATCAAATAGCAACTCTTATTTATATTTAAAGAAATAAAATTATTACTATATACAAATTTATAATTTATTTAAACGTTAAAAAACAAATATCTAAACTATATTTATTGATAAAAATTACATAATTTTTGTGTAGATAAACATAAAGGACTACCATCACATTAAAGTAGTATTGGGTAATCCAACTTGTGATCTTGATTCCGCTGTTTGCGCTTTAGCCTATGGTTTCCTTAAATATAAAGAAACGGAAAAGAAAGATACTAAAATCGGCGTTATTCCAATGTTAAATATTACAAAAGATGAATTTTACTTGAGAAACGAGGTCGTCTATTATCTTCGTTACTGTAATGTATCTAAGGACTTATTAACGTTTCGGTGAGTACCTTAATTTAACTATACATTAAGAATATAAAATATGAATAATTATTCAAATATATAGGGTCACACAAATGACAAATTATAATTCTAATAGTATTACAAAAATACTTATTTATAAGAAGAAAAATACTCTATAATAAAATAGAACAATGCCTCTTTAAAATTATCATGTATAGAACATGGTTTAAATTGTTAAATAAAAAAAATTGGTATAGCATTACTTTACTCGCGGTCGTACAAATATAATATTTCGAAAATTTAATTTTTTTACTTATATGTATATTTTTTTAATACGGAGTGTACTTTTCATTTAAAATGACAATGCAAATTTGTTCAGTTTAAACAATAACTTAAACAATTATTAACCATAAATCATGCTAAATATAAGAGTTAAATCGCATATAAATTTCTTAGAAAAACAACTCAAATTTTTGCAAAACAGTTTTTAACAAAAGATTGTTGTTCAATTTTTTTAAATTCGTTTTAACTATTTAATCAATTTTCAACCACATAATTTGTTATTGAATTATTAATACTTTTTAACAAAAGTGCTAAATATCAAAGAAGCTTCATAATCTAGATAACATAATTATATGTTTGAGTGTGCATAAAAATTAACTGCACTAATCCGGCTCGTAGAACCAAACGTGTAGAATTAACTAAGAAAACCACTAGATGTTGTGTGGGAGAATGCGTGGGCAAGTGGAGGGGTTAATGCACTGATTCAATAATTAACACATATAATTCTTATTGCAGTTTATTCCATTTATTTTCAATTTATTTCCAATTTAGGGATGATAACTCGTGATAAGATTATAAATAACGTTTATGTTTCTCAATAATAATGTGGCGTTGTGATATGCTTCTATTGGAGAACTAGAGAGTGATAAATTCCTTATTCTCTGGACATAACTGATGAGATAATGATTTCCTGTGAAAAGAGAGAGGTTATGATCGTTTGTTGTGCTCTGAACGGACACTACAATTCTTGTTAGTGTCGTGATCTTGACACGTGTTGCCGTTGTCTTTGATATAATGGGCCGTGCGAGTGAGCACGTGCCTAAGAAAGAGGTTAGAGGAATGTTCGCCACTGAATGGCGTGAATTGCTGGTCTTGAGAAGTGAGCATGCGCGAGAAGCTTCTGGACTCGGAGAGCTTGCGGTCCGTTTACTAAATGGGCCGTGAAGTGAAGAATCTACACTAGAAGTCTGGACTTACTTGAAGTTCTAATGTAACATTTTCAGTTTCTCGTCACAGGCTTAATGGGAAGCTTCCATGCACGAGCTGCTTACACTTGAACTTTCCTTGTCTCTCCTTCTTGAGGTGATGAGAATCTCAGTCCTTGTGCGATATGTGTTTGATGAGACTAAATGTAACTGGATGTTGAACCACAGAAGTAGAAAGATATTTTAGAAGACTCAGCTGATCAACTTTTCTCTTTTCCTTCTTCTTAAGCTAGGTTGTGATTTTTCGTGAGAATAAGTGTTGGTACATTGCCTTTGTCCTTCATAAATAGTTCACTGACCTGGTTCCACTAGCAAGCCCTTCTTCTTTCTTGTATCCAATCAGAGTGATTAATCATGCACGCCTTCATTTCCACTCCCTTCCGGGTTTAGTCTTGAATATGCTCAAATCGGGAAAGTGTCTGAAGGGGGGGAGCGTCTCCTATTCGTCTTCTCTCCCTCCTCTGGGACTTATCGATATGGGGAGTCCTCTGGGAGCGCTGTCGATTGGCTAGCGCGATCGGCAAGATTCGGTGTGGTTGAGAACAATGTAAGTATTGTCTAAAAAGGCCGATACGCACGTACGCCGATTGTCCGATGTCGCACGTGCTGGGGTTTTGGGTTGCAGTGAAAAGTAGGTTTTTATGGTCAAGAGTTTTACGTACATCTGGTACTTTCAGTTGTTGCAGTATAATCAGAGCCGACGCGTTCGTGCCAGTAAACAGTTAGGTCATTAATGCGTCAAACAATGAACGTATTGGTAATGCGAAGTAACTAGCATAACTGATTAGCGGGTTTTTCAGATGTACTGACCTTTTCGTGTCTCCGCCGTCAGTGAGAGGGTTTTCTTCAAGCTTTATGATCAAGTTTAATAAGTTTAATGACACTCTAGCTTGATATGAAATGAACAGGAATTTTTCTGAAGACTAACGACAATTTAATGATGTTGTTTTACCAGATGTTTTATTGCATTGAAAAATGTCTCGCAATCTCAAACATAATGAAAGTCTAAAGAACATTATTTTTATATATTATTTGTTTTCTTTCGTTCAAATACTGTGTGTTTAAGAAAAATGAATCATTTTAATTGAAGAATACAATTAAATTTTTTATTCAAACATTATATTTGTACTAACATAATTTTTAATATAGAATTATAAAATGAATTGCTTATTTAAAATTACAACAAATTTATAAAATAATTTAAGATGCATTTAATAAATGTTTGTGAAATATTTTACTAAAAAATAAAGGTTCTTGTAAATTAAAAAAATCATGTATATTGTATAAAATAAAAATATCTATTATTTGGACCAAAATTAAATATTAATTGAAAAAAATTTATGTGTTTGTATATTCAGATATCTTTATTTTTAATTTATAGCAATTTAATAGAAAATATAATTACTTGTTTATTGTATACAATGTATAATAGTTACTAATTGCATACAAATATTAAAAATCTTATTAATTAAAGATAATCTGTTCTTAATACTTTCACAGTTTTACACAAAATACCAAACCGAAAAATGTCTCATTATATCTATGCATAACATAAAAAAACGTGGATTATGATAATAAGTAATGTAAAAACTTAGATTTGATAATTTGATAATGTAGTAAAATATAGTTTCTAAAATAAGTATTGTTTCAATTACAATTGATTTATTTATTTTATTACAAATGAAATTTTTTATTTTTATTTCAATTGATACTTTTAATTATTTATTTAACTTTTTTAATTTTTAAATCAAATGTTTTTTTAAACTATTCATTGGACAAGATATCTAAGAGATCTGGATTTTATTATATTATTTATCATTTAATTTTTAATAAATCTTTTATAAAGAGTATTATATTTACCGTTAATAATTTTATAATATAATTCTTAGAAATTTAAACTTCTGGAGCAAAATAAGAAAAATAACGATTGAAATTGAAACATGACAGTTTTAGTTATCTATTAATTGTAAATATGTGTATCTAATATATTTTTATGTATATTTATTATTTATTTAAAAATATAATAATATTATGTTATTCTAGGTTTAAGGGCTTTAAAAAATATATAGATATATACTAGGATCGAAATATGTAAATTGTATTAAATGTGCATATATTTCCATGCATATCTATGTGTCTGGGATCTGACTAAGAACCTCCTTAGATGTTGGGTGAAGGTGTTGCTGGCAAGTGGAAGGGGCAATGCAATTATTCAATACTACATGCAGTGTTTCCTTTCTTTCCTTTATTAAATATAATAATGTAATAAATAGTTATTAATCATAATGTGTCTGAATGAAGGTGTGAGCGAATAATTAGAGGAAGTTTCTTCAATAGTGTTACGTGCTGACGAGAGTGTATGTACTCTCCGTGATGTGTGGAGAGACTCCTTCCCTTCCGAGAAGTGCCGCTGTAGTAGTATGCGTATGGGCCGCCGCTGTGTACCGCTGCTGCCTAAGTGAGACTGGGTTGCTCCTACCTTTGCGTCGGTGCGCAAGAACTGCTGCTGTTGCACTTAAGCTTTCTAAAGGGGGACCGCTGCTGCTATCTTAGGGTCGGTGTAATCCGTTAATATATGTAGTATGCGATAGTTTCACTCTTGATTAAGCTAGCACTATCGCGTTAATCGTTAAGTTTCATTAGCGGATTCTGAAATGTGCTTCACTATTGTATAGTCAAATTGCTTACTGTTTGAGCAATTACGTACGTGTGTATCTAAGGTGAGTGATGACTGTAGAAAGAAGCTTGAAGACTGAATAGTGAGCTGCTGTGTTACTGCGTAATCGTTATTACGCTAAGCTGAGACAAAGACTGACAAAGGACCGACAAAGACTAACTGGCGCGTGGCACGCGCAGTCCTTAAGTATTCTCGTAGTCATTTAGGGCGCCGGTGGCGATGTTACTATGCCGGTTTTTGTCGTCACGTCAATAAGCATAGTTTTTGTGAGTTTCATTGTTATAATTCTTCGAAATTCTAGTCCTATATTCGAGTTTTCGGTGTAGAAATATTACTCGAATTCGTTGGCTAGTGTTTATAAACAATCGTTCGCGCACTTAAACCTCTCCCACTTTTGTCTTCCGCTTTCAACTGTTCAATCCGTAACACTATGAGTATATCCATAGATATTTCTATAAAGCAAATAAAATAAAAAATTGTTTTCATATAAATTACACTCAATACAAAGCAATTAATTCATATTCTATTAAATTACATAAAAATTATTTTTTGTTTAATTATCTATTTTTTAAAACAAAACATATTAATACTTACATAACAACGATAAATTGAGTCCAGCTTATAATCTACAATAAATTTTTAATCTATTTATTGAATTTTAATGTAAATCAGTATTTAGTACTTTCAAAATAATTTTTTAATTATTTTAATTATTTAATTATTTTTAATTATTTTAATTATTAATCGCAATTGTTTAAATACAAATTTATGTAAATGCTCTATTTTTCATATTTTTAAATTACACGAAAAGAATAATTTATACAAATTTTTTTATATTTTAATAGTTCTTATGTATTAAATTTTTAAAAAATAAATAACAAATATTCTAAGGTTTAAATATATTTCTTCTCAATAATTAAAAATAAATTATTGATACTGATTAATATATATTTGGAATTTTTCATACCTTAAGTCAATTAGTAGCCATTTTTAATTTCATATGAGAGTAATTCATAACAGTGTTTCTTTGTTTGTGTTTTCAACTATACAAATTGAGTAAACTATACAAATGAATGTGTAATCAGTTAATCTGAAACAGTCTGCTAAACTACCGAATAACGAGAGTTGCCTTTTTTTCCAAGGCTATGACTACTAAATTTTATTGTTGTTTTTCTTGTTTCATTAATGTATCAATTTAGGAAAAAGTATTTTTGTATTAGTTCAAGCGATCATATATTGTATAATTCATCCGATCACATATATATTGCCATTATTTGAAAGTATTTCATAAGTATTAAATAAACAATCGTTCCTAAAATCATGTAATTCAAATTTTGTACAACATTGGATTACTAGTTATGCCACATTCTTATATTACATGATTATATAAATATGTATGTTAATTTATTTTATTGTATTTTTAATTTAAAAAGGAGACTATTTTTGTTTGCTACCATCTTACTCTTCAGCATCTTTTTCAATTTATCATATATTTATTTTGGAGTATTTTACTAATTAAAATATCAAATATTATTAAAGTACGCCAGGATTTGATTAAAATCTATTAATTTGAAATGGATATTCGAATTTTAATATTATCATTAAGAATTGTTAATATTGTAGTTTGTAGTTGATTTTAAAAATCAAATAAGTGAATAAATGATGTGAATTTTCTTCAGTCTATTGACAGTAGTTTTAATAAAGGTACTTCATTTTGTAATTACCAGCTTTAAGTGTAGACTTTTTAAAAATCGAATATTTAAATACATAAATATTACTCTTTATATCATTAATCACATTAGTATCTTATTTTATTAAAGGTTAAATAATGTAAATATTTTTGAATTGTCGACTATTTATTTAATGATACGTTTGACTATATTATAACATCATGGGTTATAAATTATATTTAGTTTGATTTAATATTTTATTTATCAATCTATTATAGTTACTAGATAAAAAGTTAAACAAAATTCATTATTAGTTTTTTATCAATTACATTTACAAGTACATCAGGTATTACAGGTAGTACAGCAGGAGTAATTTATATCCATGCGCTATTCATGCATTAAATTTTAGTTATGTTACTAACTTATTAATAGAAAAAATGAATAACTTTTATAAATATATATTTAATAAAGACTATTTGTTACTTATGAAAATAAGGTCAAGTTTATGAATACAATTAATCAGAATATATAAATGAATGATACTTTTATGTATTAGTTTTACGTAGTTTTACGTATGAATTAATTTATTGCTGTTTAAATATTAAACATTTAAGTTAATTCTTCAAATTAAATAAGTCAAATAAAATTATTGTTTTCTAAAAACTCAAATTGTGAAATACAATTTGTGTAAAATACACATAAAATATTGGAAAGACTTAATAATTATTTTATTTGCCATTACTGTAAAAATCAAAGCAGTTGATGTGATTATATTTAATTACTTATATAGCTTAGTAATTTATATTTTCAGATAAAATAAAAAAAATTAATATAGATATAAATTATATACTTAAATCATATTATTTTTTATTTCTCAACGTAATGAAATCAGTTTGAATATATTACACAAGACTAAAAAGAAGTTTATAATTACTAAAATTTTCAATATATTGATTTTTGTTTGTCAAATTTGATGTCTTACAAACAATTATTATACGCTTATATTTTCGTAAACAGATTACGTTACTACTTTCTACTATGCTACTACATATTGCGCTACTACTGTACACAGAAAACCATGATAAAGGAACTAATGAGAAAATAAGAAATTAAGTTGTAACAAAACATAATAATATTAAGAAATATTATAGTAAATAAGAAAGAATAGAATTCTATATAAACTTGGTAATAATACAATAATTTAATACATTGATATGTCTATAATTATTAAAATAATATTTAAATTTGCAAGTTTAGATACAAAGTACTAGGATTTTCGATAACTAATTACGACTTTGTAATAAAAAATTCTATATGCAATCATTGAAGCATCTGAAAAACATAACACTACAATAATACTTTATTAAGAAATTAAACATTATTATAGAAATAACTTTCAACTTGTACACTAACCAGACGTAAATCAATAAATATTGTATTATAAATAGATGAAGAACATAATATATAAAGTAGTAAATAAAACAAATTCGCAATGTTTATTAAATTGATTTCAACACCTGTTTAGTAAAAAAAAACTGTATAATAAAGACCAAGCTATAAATGATATTAGAATGTAAGATATATTTATATGTTAATATGAAATTGAGGACTTCTTATTAGTGGATATTTTTAAATACGCTTAAAATGATTTGGCTATATTTATTTAGTTTAATAGTGGGAAAAAGTTTAAAATGGCCAATGTTACTAAATGAAGTATATAGATTGTAGAATTTCAATAGAAAAAATCACTAAAATTACTTAAAACATTTTTAAATATATTTTCAAAGCTATATTTATATTTTCATGTTTATTTTAGAAATTATGAAAGTATTTAATATTTCAGTTTTAAAATGAATTTTTCAGATTAAATATTCTTTCATTTTTGTTTGATAATAAAAGCGATTAAATACGAAATTTGGAAATATATTAATAAAGATTTGATTGTTAATAAATATTCATAAATTATTTAATATTAAACTGATTGATTTTGTCTTCGTTTTATAAGCTAAATGGACTATTTAAAAATAATAATTATACATTTTTAATTAACAAATTTAGGTATACAAGTAATTATAATTAATTCATATAATCTATAAATACATAGACATACACGAAAATATAGGTTAAAATTTATTAAGTCGTTTTAATAATATAATTTTTATCATTTATGCCTTGTTCGCTTATTCTATATAATGATATGCTAATTTTTCAGAAATATAGTATACTATAACATAAGAAGTATTTTATTCATTCATCTTTCTATAAATTAATCTCTTCAATATTTTTTTAATATAGAATATACATTTTTTATACTTATATATACTTATAACTATATGTACTTTAATATATAATATAATAAAATTATTGCTTATGGAATTAAAGGTTTGATATTCTTTAGTAATGATATAAATCTGCAGAATCTCCACGATTCAGGGAAACTAGAACTCATTTTAGTGGATCACCACATTCTCCGAACAGAAGATATTGGTTTTGCTAATTCAGTATCTGAGATTATTGATCACAGACCTCAAGATAATACTTGGTCCTGGACCGGATGTGCACTAACTCTTACAGGTGCCGGAAGTTGTGCTACCCTCGTCGCCCGGAATATCTTAGAACGCCGGCCAGACACAATAAAAGCCGTTTGCAAATTATTAAAAGGTGATTATATATGGATATACGTAATTATATTTGCTTTATGTATATATCCTACTGATAAATTACTCAATGTTCTATGCGTGCTTGCATTGTTATTTTATTAATAACATATCTTATGTTTAAAGCTAACTATTGAATTTATGAAATAAATAATAATTAATTTCCTGAACTTTTAATTCTTAAAGTATTTCAAAAGTATTTATGTAATAAAAGTTGTAATTTTATAGACAATAACATAATACAATAGTTTAGTCTCATAGCATTTAATATAAAAATAATGGAAAATATATACTGAACATATCCTCATTTTGAAAGATATTTTATTGTTATACGGATTTGTATTAATCATCCAATTTTTAAAAATATACTCTGTTTTAATTAATCGATTATCAAATAAAATTGTATTTATTACACTTTATTCTAATTATTATAATTATAATTACAATTTCTTTCTTTTTCTCTCTTTATCCGAAGTTTAATGAATTAAACATCTCGTAATTAAACTATTTTTTTATACACCATTTTCCTTCTTAATTTTTTTAATTATTTGGGTTTTTTGTTCCTTTTTATTTTTTTCTGTCTTGCTTCTTATTATTATACTCTTTTATTAATTTCTGAAAAATAATTATAAATTTATATTTTATAAATGCTTGTATATACAATGTTTATATATAAAATAATAATTTTAACTAATTAAAAATCAATCAATCGCTGTTTTTTTTATAATTTGTTTGTATGACTACAATAAAATCTAATGCTGTTAGTATTTATCATTGATAACCAATCGGTTATAAATTTGAATGTGATTATTATTATTTTGAATCATACGTCCTACATAATAATTCTCATGATCATTGGCAACTATTTGAATGGATATAATTAAAGCGATTTTCAATTTAATAGTAGACTAATTGTTTTAATCACCTATTCACTTATATCATGTTCAAAAACTCGTTTTTTTGTTTATACTTAGTCTCAAACCTCTTTCCTTTCCTTTGTCGCGCTCCTACCATTAGATTTAATCATCGTATATCGTCGTTCAGATTTACAACGTTATTTGTGCTGGATTTTCCACCTTTTTCTCATTTACTATTGCCAATTTATTTTTTGGGTTGGATATTTACATGATATACAGGATATTTCCTGCTCTCAAGTAGAAATATGTATCTTATTTTCGATATATACATATATATCTTTTTCCATTAGTTATGACATGAACAATTCCTGTGCCTCTGAATCAATGATCTCCATTATTTGACGAAATGAGTTTTTCACCGTTATTATCAAAATATTTTCTGCCTCTTCTGTATATTGGTGTTTCTATCATAATTTTCTTATGCAATACTGATTTTTTATGAATGCTTGATTTATATAAATTAATCATTATTTTATTTTATTCCGTAGTTTATATTTGGTTTTTTTAATTGTCCTTCTTTTTACTTAATAATCTTATATTATTTTTGTGAAATAAAAGATAAGCATTCAACAAAACTAATGAATTTCAGTATTTGTACGTTCACAATATGCAAATATAGTTTATTTAAGTAATAATTATGAACCATATTATCAACCAATATTCATATTGTCTAAGCATGAAAAAAAATGAGGAAACAATGACAACGTCAGGCACAATAAAATAACGAATTTTATAAATTTCATATGTAAATTTTGGTCAATATTAATAATTAAAACATTATTCAATTTTTTGTTTTATTAAATTATAGGTCCAATATTGATTGATACTGTTAATTTTTCAAAAGAAGCAAACCGAGCAACTTTATTAGACTATGAAATAATGGCGCAACTGGACAAAATTTGCGGTACAAATATAACGGATAGAATTAAATTATATAAAGAAATTCTTAATGTAAAATCCGATATTAGTGAATTATCACCTTACGATCTTCTAATCAAAGATCTCAAAATCACTAATGAAGTTTTAATATCTGGATTTCCCATCTTAGTGAAGGTAAGAAAAATTTTAATTCTGAACAAAATAAATGTATCTTAAGATTGTCAGTATTTTTTTATTGTATTTATTCAAATTATTTAGATTTAACTATTGTAGAATAATTTTTTTTAATATTACTCTAAATATTACAAAATATTAATATTGATATTAATATTCTACATCATAATAAATGAAACTACAAATATTCTTCTACATTTATTAATAAGCTAGGTAGTTTATTATTATTTCTTTTGAATTCTGCAATATCCAATTTTAAATTTGCAGAATTTATTATTATTTTGTATTTATTATTTATTTTTAAATTGACGAATTATTTATTGAAATTTTTTCAATGTATCCGTGAATTATATCATTTCTGTTGTAATTCTTGTAATTCTTCATGTAATTCTTCATTTTCATAATAAATTAATATCCTATCAATATTCATTTTTTTTTCTTTTTCTAAAAAAAATTCGAAAACTTAATATTTTATATAGATATTTTGCTTTCTGCCGCTAGAGTTATTTTATAATATAAATAATCATATTTTTACTATTAGCCATTTTGTTACTTTTTTTTTAATTTAGTAGATATATTTATATAAACTCCTGCATTTTGAAAGAAAACCAATTAAAAAATCATTTTGATAATATTCTATATTCACAATATGCGATACACAATATTAGATGCAATTGAAGACTTTTATTCCTAGAAGGGTGGAATAATAATTTGCAACCTTTGCTTTCCTTTTTAGTGTAAAATAATCTTTCTATTTTATGTTCAACTATTTATTCTTTATTTCTCATTTTATTTCAGTATTACTTTAAATATAATACAGAGAATACCGATTTTCCACATTTTAATAAAATAACAGTATATCGTTATTATTATATTTTAACTTTAAAATAAAAGTTTCTCTTAAGATTGAGATAACGAAATTAATTCATATTATATGCATAAACTATTTTTGTTTTTATTTAAATATTATAATTTATTATATAACGTTCCTACATATTATAAAGGATATTTATAAATATATATCTAAAACTTTATAAGATAAACAAAGAATAAAATATTTTATTCTTTAGATATGTAAATCATATACGTTGGATTTCCAATATTTAAAAAACTACGAAATATGCAAATATCATATCTCTATTAAATGTTCATCTTACTAACTATAGAAAAATTGATTCTTATTAAAGTATTTACACTAAAGTGAAAATTGGAAATTCTTCTTCATTGAAAGGAATGATAAATGATCAATGAAAACACATTATTAGATGTTCAAATGATACATTAGAATTTTTTGCATGCATCCATCGGACTACTTAATTTATATTTCATTCTTTTGGATTATTAATTATGTCACGTGACGTAGGAATTTTTAGAACTAGAGGATGCTATGGAAGCTCTCAAGGTATTCTGTTTAAAGCAAGGCTATCAATTAGCTATTCTTATGGGTATAGATCTAAAGAATGACAACATGATCAGAGACATTGCCATTTACTCATCGAAGATTAATCAAACAGCAACTACAGTAAGTGAAATATGATACTTTTTCTTTATACAAAACAATATCAACTTCATATTAAGGCAATCATAAATACTACCAACATATTTATATCTATTAAATTTTATAAGCCATTAATATATTTGAAATAATTGATTCCTTAGAATAAATTATTTTTAGTAAGTAAGCAAAATAAATTTTAATAAAGGAATGGTAAGATTACATGGTAAGAAGTATTCGAAAAGCACTAACTTTTACTCAATTAATTAATGATACATTGAATAGAAAGTAGTTTAATAATCTGTAAAAAGTTTTTTTTTTATTCTTTCTTTTATTTAAATTTCTTATTATATTATTATTTATTTTATAATTTATTTTTATTGCTTCAATTTCTATCTCTAAATCTATATTACTTTATAATTAATTCATTTTTATACATTATATATACATTTCTTTATTTTGCTCTTACAGAGTCATAAAATCAAATTAGGAATAATTATAGTGTAATTTAATATTATACTCAAATATATATTAATAGTTCAAAATTAGTCAGGATATTTCTTATAAATCTTATTTTCTTTGCTTAACTTTCAAGCACTTTATATAATAATTCATTATTTTTTCATGTTTATCGCCTTCTTCTTGTTTCTCTCTTTATATTGTAGTTTATTAAGTCACCTCTTTATGTACTAATTGTATATTGTATATATTTGTGTATATTTTAATTGTATATATATATTTATGTGTGCGTGTGTGCGTATATGTGTGTGCGTGCGTGCGCGCGCGCGTGTGTGTGTGTGTTTATGTATTTATATAAACTCACGATTTTACATTGTTATGTTTATATGATGAATTATAAACCTATATGTTTAACAATATCTTTTTACCTTAGTAAGTTTATTATCGTACCCATATTATTTTATATTGATCAATCACTTGTTTAAAAAAGAGATGCGTTAATTAAAAAGTACTTCAATATTCATCAATATGCATATATGTGTATATATAATTTCTAAGGAATATTCAATATCAATTAATTATAAATTATCAAGATGACGAAAGAACTTAGTGATACTTCATTTAAAATTGATAAAAAATTCGTGTTGTCTTGGTGTAAATATTTTAAATTAAATTATAGATTATATTATTATTTTTAGTATGTAATTAATGAAAGTGTAATTTTTAATAACTTAGTTATAAGCATTTTAAAAAACATAATTAAATAATACATAAATAATATAATCATCATAATTATTAAGGTCGATTATAATAGAACTTGTAATATTTAATTATCTAAAATATAATAATCTATGTTTAAAAGTGGAAGGTGCATTTTGGTTACGAATGCCACAGTATACCGAATGAAATACATCAAACTGTAATAAAAAAAAAATATTTAAAAGGGAACAAAGAATTTGACAGGTACTATTGTTATTTTCTATTTGCGTATTCTATTTGACCTAGAAAAGGTGAACTATCATTTTAGTAATTATATAATTAATTGGTTACATTATTCAAGATAAAATAAGTTTTAAATATAATTTGTTATATTATTAAATATAAAAAAAGTTATATATATATATATATATATATATATATATATATATATATATTAATAAAATTTACAAATATCAAACATTTAAAATTTTTTGTGGTAACAAAACATTTATAAAAAAATTTGTATGAAAAAGCAGTTCAATAATGCTTATCAAACTAATACTTTTAAATAAGACATGTAAGTGTGAAAGTTATTAAATTGTAATTGACTATTTGAGGAAATAAATTAAATAATATATATTAAGGATAAAAATAAAATAAAATATATAGATAACATGGTAACCATATACCACACACGCGTAATAGAACACCATATACACAACAATAGAAGAACCTACAAATATCAGAAAAATGAATCAAAGATCGTAGAGAGTCGTACCCGTTCATTATCCTATTATTATGTAAAACTACTACAATTATAATATATTTTAGCTCAGTGGCAAAACATTATAATAATGCAATACTGTATAATATTTAACGATTGAAACCGTACGTCAAATAAAAAAAAAAAGTAATGAGCCATGTATATTTCTTCTAAATTAAATACAATTATACAATATTGTATCGTAATGAATTAAAATTCATCTGGAGTATTTTTGACAAATTGCTTATATGGTTTTGTTCTATAATTATATAGAAATTTTATATAATTCTATAATAATCTAAACAAATTAAAGAATTCTTTCGGATTTATCTGTAGGTAAGCAAATTAGCCGTTCGTATTTTTCTTTTCCGAAACTTAAATTCGAGCATATCCACGTAAATATTATAAAGTATTAAGTTTTTTTTCTAATTTAAACAATTGAAATGATAACCATAGGCTATATGGTCATTTTGAAATTTCTAAACTGAAAATAAATTTTGATAATACAAAAAAATAAGTTAAATATTAATAGTATAGCTAACAATAAACAGAAATAATAAAAACAAATTTGTCTTAGGTTAGGTTTTAAAATATAGTCTTCTATTTCTATATTTGCTTTATTCTATTTAATTATCTAATAGAAATATATGCCTGCTGAAAAGGAAACATTGTGAAAATAAACAAAAAATTGGAAATTCAATTTTTAACATTTTTATCCTGCCTCTTATACTACTTGTGAGTAATGGAAGAGGATGAGCAGATGTTCTGAAAATAATGAATTGACTACTGTTGTATATAGGTTGGTGTATTTATAAAGTTTAATAGTTATGAAATTGGAATTAATTGTGATTTGATAGTCAAAACAAAAAACATTATTAAATACTTACCGTGGATTATACTTTCATCCATTTAGAGTTTTTTATTGTTTAATAAACTTTGTTATAAACTAAAACGCTTTTTTTAGAGATTAGCAAAATACGCTACATTAATTTCATAATACAAATTTGCACATAGAAATATGTAAATGATAATTTTAAAATAAATGTTTATAATCTGTTTTTTCAAAACTATGTTTTCAAAACTTGTTAAAAATGTCTCTGTCAAATTATATATATAATATAACTATATATATCAAATAATATATTTTTTACAGACATTTTCTTTACAGACTAATTTCGTTAATTACACAACTTTGTTTAACGCACGTTTTTTTTCTTTAGTTAATCGAGGCCTTGACAACATCGGTTAATCCAAATCTGCAGCTGACAGAAGTAAAACGTGAGGATTCTGCTACAAAATTGTTGGTACTATATAAACAAGACAATATGCAGGTTTCACGCAAGCAAATATTTCCAATTATACAAAATGCATTATTTGGTTGATTTCATACATACATTTATTATTATTAGGGAGGATTAAAAAGGAAATTAAGGAGGACAGGATTAAAAAATTAAATTTGTGTTTTTTATATTATTATAACAGATATTATTATTTATATTATTCTTTTATTCTATTTTGTCTTTTATCTTTCATAGTATCTTCTTATTACTTTACAAATAATGCACCAATTTATCTTCGTGTAAACAGCAATGATATAACATGTTGTAATTATACATAGTAAGTACATTTCTTTGTAATAATTACGATTGATTCTCTTTTGAAAGTACATACCGTTATGTATAACAATAAATAGGGATTGAATACATTACTTAATATGATGCAATTTATATATTATTAAACTATTTGATTATTATGATTAAAAACTATATTTTTTAATTATTTGATTAGTGTAATATAATTATTAAAGAATCGTAAATCATCGTTAAATAACACTGATTTGCCATTAAATTTGTAAAAAATTTTACTGTTATCGTTATATTAATCTATATTTTTATTAAATTCTTTTATATGAAGTAATAAGCAAATTAATTTTTATTTACATAATTACTATAGATATCTAATAAAAATATTACTTGATTTTAATTTTTAATTTATAATCATAGAATATCCTTCCTCTTCTTCAATCCTCTTCCTTGCAATAGTCTATAGTTCTATTTTGAAGATTAACGTCAGTAATAGCGGATTATTTGCCTTGTATAAAAAATGTTAGATTTTGCAAATGTCAGATATTGAGCAGAACAGCAGCAAGCAAAACCAAGTTGTATAAAATCGGAACTTAAACGAGCGATGCACAAGTAAAACATAAATTTGGATCTCAAATGAAGTCTCTACGTTCCTTATTTAAATTAATTTATGTTTTTTCAAAGCGTAATTAACTAAAAGAATACAAAATACACTGTTTTGTATTATTGTCGATTCCTGTGCACGATGAAGATCCATTGGATTCATAGTCAAGCGAGTTAAAAATTAACGATAAGATGTAAGTTTGTACAGCAGGAAGAAAATTCCAAAAAAATTGTTACTTATATAAATGTTTGTTGTAGTACAGATATGTACGTCGCCGAAGATACTAGCTTAATTCTTAATAGCGGGTAATGCAAATATGTGCTTAAATGTAAATGTATATATCTAGATATATAATAGACAGACATCATCATGTTCATATTTTTACCTCAAAAAAATTCAAAAATTTTCTAATGTTAATAGTAAAAATTTGAGTTTAACGAAACAAACTTTTCAATATTTATATCACTGCTCTTTAATAATGCAAATATCCTATACTTGATTATGACTTAAATTTAATTTCTTATGTCTTTATTTAATTTCGTATTTGACTGTAAATAAATACTTCAATTAAACTAAAAATGGTAATATAATTTATTTAAAATTTTTGTATGTATCATATATAAATTTTATATTATATAATAGCGTAGTTGATATATTTTATAATTCTTGCTATTTCTTTTAAATAAATATTTATAAAGAATATCATACTTATAATAATTATACTTGTTAATTTGACATGATGTTTAAAGAGGTTTAATGTTACTACATATAAGGTTTTATTTTCTTAAATCCGCTATTGAGCATTTATTCATAATGACATTTCTTTTACTATATTTTAAATAATGAAACTAAATTATCTTAAATAATTAACTATTGGCTAATATATATAAATAACTGTTAATAAGTTTATTTAATTTTCTAATTTGAAAAAGAAAATTTTTGGAAGAATTGAGATTAAATGCAAATTTAAAAATCTAGTAATGTCTTTGGCATTGAGAAAAAAATAGAAATAAATTGAAATTATTAAAAAGATATTTAATAATTAAAGATGAACAGTGATTCTTTTAGTAAATTCTTGAATAGAATAACTTATTATAAATAAACTTGTTTTAATATGTTGTATTTTCTCTCACTTATCTGTTCATTGAAATTTTATAAATATAAACATAGAAATTAATTTAAAAAATTTATACGTTAAAAATATCATTAAATGAAACAATGAAATAGAATAATTTATATAAATCATATTCCTCGATTTTTCACATATATATATATATATATATATATTATATGAAATTTCCTTTTTTGTCAATGCAATTAAACATCTGGCAAGTAATATCGTAAAAATTATATTTAAATTTCAAATTTTTCTTGCTCGAAATTATCAAGCACTAGTGTCATAAAACATCTGGAAGAACAATACTATAAACACGGGAAAATCCATAGTTAGACATCTGCATTTTCGTTCCGCTCGGTAACTACTTCAAGCATTACTGCAAGCGGACCTTCCTTCCTCTTCCCACTGTCCACAAGTTGTAATGCTGTCACCAGATGCGTCAGCGATGCCCCCCTTTCCGCTACCGACATGCTATCGCATGCGGCAGCAGCAACGATAAGTCTTCTTGTCATGAAGACCAAGAGACGACTAGGCCCTTAATTAACTCCGAAGCCACAAGAGGCGCTGCCTTTGCACTATAAGAGGAGGCTCTGATTGGACGTAAAATAAGGGAAGGGGTTCAAGTAAAATTCATGGTCAGCAAATGTATTTAAGGGGCGCAATTTTCAATACTCATCACTCTTGATTACTCTTGATATTTCTTTCTTAGTAGTATACTCTTGATATTTTTCTCTTAATAGTATACTATTGATATTTTTCTCTTAGTAGTACTCCCTCAATATAGTATACCCTTGAGATATTTTATACTCAGTTAAGTTTAGTGAAAGTCCATTAACACTGTTACTGGAACAGTAATTACAAGCTCTGGAGGAACGACGTCATACATCGTATGTCCATTAACGCAGTTCAAGAACCGGCGTTAGATGTTCAAAAGGAACGACGACATACATCGTATGTCCATTAACGCAGTTCAAGAAACGTCGTTACATGTTCAAAAGGATTAGTCTTCGTAAGTAGTATTATTACTACAATAATTATACATATATATTGAGATTTAGAGTATTACATCGATAAGCAACTAAGGGCGAGGAAGCTCCTCTTAAAACGACAGTGCGGAATAAATTCCAGTACGCGTCAAGTTCGCGTCCGCAAAAAGGGCGTTCCTTTCGGCAACCCTCACCTTAGTTCAAGTTCGGAAGCTTATGAAATTAAGCAACACACAGCGCGAGTGTCGACGAATCAAGTTTCGCGCCATTCGACATTCGTATTCAACAATCAAGCTGCATAGATTACTGTACGTTTGCCTCCGTAACACATTACTTCAACCCAAGAGTTAATCTATAATTAGTAATAGTAATAATAGTCAACCTTGTCAACAATAAATAACAGAATAAAAAGTAAATACTTCAGTCACATTTATATTGTATTATTATAATATTCCTTCCACTTGTGACCTTTCATCGCTACCACACAACATCCGTGGTCTCTGAGTTGTCAACGACATCAAATTGTATCCGTCGAACCGGCCTTGATAAAATAAGTCGGAACGACCAGTTGCACTTTGTACAATATCCATCGCTTTTTACAAATGTGACGCATTCATAAGTAAAAGCTTGATACATTAATATATAATCTTAGTAAACTTAATTTAAAAGCAATATAAAGAATAAGATGTATTATACAAAAATAATGTCACTAATAAAAACTTTATATGAACATTGATTAATTAATAAGAATAATATATCGAATAAAAAATGTTTTAATTTCATTTAATTTATTAGTTTTAATAAATTTAATTATAAATTGGTAAATATTATTTACATTTACAACTTTTTTAGAATATTTAATTACTTATCGAAAGTATAATTAAATAAATAAATAAATAAATAAAATCGAAATAAATACATTTACAACTTTTTTAGAATATTTAATTACTTATCGAAAGTTTAGTAAATAAAATTGGCGTAAATTATAAATAAGCCATTTTAAAGTAACAATTATGTTTGGTAGGAAACTTAACAATTTTTACTAAAAATAAACCAAATTTGTAATTATTTATTAAATTCAAAGTTTAATTATCTGATTGTATATTACAAAAAGGCGATTTACTAGTAGTAGGGACGTAAAAGGTAGATGACACCTTGTAATTATAAAGATCAGCATTTATTCCCATTTCTGGCCAATTCTTATCATTTTTTTTAATATGAATTCTAAAAGGACTTCTTAAAATCCATGGATATGCAGAAAATTTGCAGTTTTTTGAAATAGCTTGAATTACAGATTCCAGAAAAATCTTAAATCCGCGTCTATGACTGCATATACCATTTTCCATTGCTAAAGTATATAAAAACAATTTTTGTATATTGAATTATATATCAAATTTATTATACTAAAGAATTTATATTATTTCATTATTTTCTAGTTATTTTTTAATTTGAATGATATTCTTTACATTTTTAATTTTTTTCATTTAAAATAATTTTTTAACTATTTTATGATTTATAAATATTGATCTAATAAATTTTAACTAATAATACAAAGAATAAAGAATGCTGCATTATTTTAACATTATAAGAAAATAGATAAATTTACAATTGAATTTATGTAATTTCATTAAATTAATTAATTTATATTTCTGTTACCATGTACGAGCAGTTTTAATAATGAGGGAACTGATTTTTGGGACGCTAAGAAACCGCATCCTGGTTGTTTTCTTCCTCCGTTTACGTAAAAATCAGCATGTCCTGAAATAAAATTGTTCATAGAGTAAATATTTAGCTCATTAAAAAATCATATACATGTATATTTATATGTACATGAAATAGTGTTAAGTAGAATTTGGTTCTGTGAATATTTGTTACAAAAATCAGAACCAAATAAAGATACTTATTTTTTTCTAGTTTATTTTATTTTTAAATAACAAAATAAATACCATTATATAGTGAATACATAAATAAATTAATTAAAACATTTTATTATATAAAAAATTCAGCGTAATGTAAAATTTATAAATGAACATTAAAATATCCTTGAAAAATTTTTATTTGTAGATTATGTTTGATAAAGAACGATAAAATAATATTTGAGTAAATTCAGAATTCTTATTACAAATTTAGATAACCACATATGTTTAAATACTATCTAATTTTTTAATTCATCAAATTATTCTAGAATAATCTTTCAACTTTGCTTCAGACTTAATATATATTTATAAATAACTAAATACATATTAATGTAATTTTTATTGTTTCAATAAAAATATAAAATTTGCATTTCCTGTTAAATATTAATTTATATAATTTTAACAAAAATTATAAATTGATTGAAATTAAATCGGTATTTTAATTATTAATTTTTGAATAAATAAATAAATATATAGTTGTATCATATTATTTATATTAGATATATATTATATATATATATATATTTTTTTTTGTAGTAGATTTTTGTAGTAGAAGAAGAAGAACCCTTCATTTTTGTAGTAGAAAATAAATTTACTTTCTTTTTATTATTTCTTTATATAAGAGATATTTAAAATTATTACATACAATTATATAAGATGCAATAGCATATATTTAAATATTTATACATTTACATGAACGAATTGTTTTTATCGTTTTCAATTATTTTCAAAGATTGTTCTTAAAATCTCACTTTAATTTTTTATGATATTGTATAAATATATTCAATTTAATATTATTAGAATAAATATATATATAATTTTATACTAATATTTCTTTATTTTATGATTATGATATTAATAAAATTGTATATAAAATTTTTATTTTATGTAGCAAAATACATTTTTTATTAGTAGGTATTAGAATTAACATTTTTTAATTTATTAGTAATGAGTTCGTAAATTTTTAAAATTTATTTTTTCTGAAATCTAAATAATGTCTTGCACTTCACCTAAACTTCATATAGTCATATTTTAGTTTTCATTATAATAAACAAAGATTTCCTGCGTCAATGATTCTACAAAAATATCATATTATACATTTTCATTTTTTATAATTAAAGAAATTAAAGAAAAATCAAGTAAATTGATACGATATAAACAGAAATAACATGATTCAAAATACTTAATCTTATTTCTTGAGAACAATCTCTATTTACAATGATTATGTAAATAAGATATTTTATTTTTGAAATATTTAATAACTTTGAGGATAAAACAAATATTAATCAAGTTAAATTAATAAACAAAATTATAACAGATAAGTATAAACATTATTGAATACTTTCTAGGTTTTTTAATATAAAACATACATAATTTGACGAAAAAGTATAAACTTCCAAAACTACAATTTTATGTAACTCATGTTTTATTGTTTTATATTTTTGCTCAATTTTAAAAGTGTAATAAATAAGAACTAATACTTAATAAAATTAATAAATTAGTTTTCTTCTTAAGATTATTTTTCATTTCTCCAATTATTTGGTAAGTGCTTTTTATAACAAAATAAGAGTTTATATTGATAAATAAAAATATTTTTTAACAATAAATGTACTGTTTAGATAGTTTTGATTAAATTTAATATATTATTAATTTCATTTTTAAGATAGTCTATCAATTATGAACATTCCTTTCTAATTTTTCTACTTGTAATACTTTATACAATTTAAATACCGATAGGATCATAAAGGCCGAATGCTTCATTCTGAGATAGTGCACCATCTGTGTGAATAACGTCAACGAAATGAGCATTATTGCTTGACAAACGCAGTTTAAAGTTTGTTGGATTAAAACAAGGCCCAGCTGGATCAAGACCAGTGATACGGTTGACTAATAAGTTGTCTTCGATTTTTAATAATTCAGCTGTCTGGCCAACTACATGGGCACCGAGACTAAAACCTACTAAGTGTAGCTGCGGTACCCAATCATCATTAAATTTGTTTTCTTCTTTCCACAATTTTATGGTGTAACTTAAAACACTAACATGAACATTCTTAAATTTATTATCATATTATGAATTGTTAGTAAAAAACAAAATTCAATAGTCAATATATGATGCAAATTTAAAAATTGAATTTTATTATAACATTAATTTCTATTTGAAGAAATTCATAACATTTGAAAACTTTCCAATATATAAGAAAATTATATAGATTAAAAAAATTTGTTTGAAAAAAATAATTACATTAAAAAAAATAGTTACAATTCTAATACATTATTTATTCAAGAAAAATTATATCGAAATATTTTTATGGCAGTACGAATGTAGGTTTTCCCAATTACATCAATACTATTTGTTTAATATAGTATAGAAATTCAATTTAACATAAATGCTTATATTTTATTTCTTTAAATTATTTTTATTAATTTCATTTCATAATATAATAAATATTTTAATTAAATTTTCGTTGGCAATAGTAATTAATATATATATTTTTTTTTCACATAGAATATATTTATTACACCGTGGGCTTGTAATTCAATGTAAAGTTCCAAATTTTAAATCAAATTGTATTGAATTTTATTTTTTATCTTATCCATTGCATAGCTAAATATGTTTAAAAAATTATTTAGTGTTCTGATTGATTCATATTACAAGTAAATTAATTATTATTTATCAAATCAGAATTAATTAATATGCGAATATATTAAAACAAATAGTAAAAATTAAAATAAAAAATTAATTTAAAACGTTAAAATTGTTATTTAATTTTAATTTTCTTATATTTAATTAAATTATGTAAACTGTTTTAATATATAAAAAGAATTTGTAATAAGCAATTTTACTCTTTCAGTGTATAAGCAGCATATTTTGTATTAACAACAGCTTGAAAATATAGTAAAGCATTTGAACATCCTTTGTACCAATCCATGGAAACAACATTTACATCATCCTGAAAAAAAATTATTAAAATTGATCTAAATATATTATGATTGATATTTATATAGATATTTTAATTTTCTAATCAATTGATATTATCAATATTTATGTAAATATTTAATTTACGATATATTCATAATTCAAGAAAATAAATTTCAGAATCTTATTGTTTTCCTAGTATTACTATAACATCAAGTAATATTTAAACAAAATCTTTTGTTTTATTAATATATTGTAATAATTTGTGTGTGCATAATAATATATATTTAATGCATTGGTTTATAATATACAGTAATTAATTTTTAAAGTACGGAGAAAATGAGTATTTTAATATTACTGTACGTTTAAATCATTTTTTCTGTATTCTAGTATTATAATTACTAGTATAATAATTAGAATTAAAAAGCTCTTTCGCGTATACATTTTCAGATTTAACAGGTTTTTTTTAATAAATTCTTAATATATCTATTAATTGGCATAATTAATTAATGATTTTATTTATTAAGTTCTTTATTCATGGCGAGTTTACAGTTGTTACTTTATCATTAATTTACTTGTTAACTGTTTTTCGAAACACGTAACTGTATTTGAATGAATTCTTAACACCTTTGGCTATAAAACTTATTAAACATAATTAATTAAACCTATTAATTCACTTTATTTTATTAGTATTATTATTGAATATAATGTTTTAATCTTATTCATTATTGTTATTCTTCAAACTCTTATTTTCAAACCACATTTTAATATTTTTATGTTTAATAATGTCTAATTTGCTTAAAAAATTATTTCACTATAAGCTTATTTAATAATTAAATATTAAAGGAATATTAGGATTATATATAGTCTAACACCTTATTTATGATCATTTAAAAACTTGCTCAAATTCATATTATTCTATAAAACCATTTTTATCAATACTAGGTATTAATTTACATATGTCTTATTAAATATGTCCCTATAATGAATACTTAAAAATAGTTTATAATAAAAGTATTTTTAATAAAATACTATTTTACTTTAAACTTTAATTTTTCTTACAATATAAAACAGTTTTTAAATAAAATTTTAATTTAATTTAAAATGAATGAATTTAATATGTTCATTATCTCTTTATATATATTTAAAAGATTTATCGTATTTAAATTGAAAATAATAATTAATTAAATAATATAAAAATATCATAGATAAATTATTAATAATTTAATTCAAATATGATATATAAACCTCAATAATAATTGTTGAATTAAATCAGTTAGTGACAATAATTGTTTTATCTCATTTTAACATATTGGTATTCACATCATTAAATAACAATGTAAAATCTTACCCATTTGAGAAGTGCATCTCTTAAATCTTCAAGTTCGTTTATGTGTTCATTGGAAATAGCTAATCCATGTGTAATTACTATAGTTTTACGTTTTGGATCAAAACCGATATTCAAAGGTGAGAAGGAAGTGTTCGAACCAATTACCTGATCGATCCTGGTTCTTGTGGATAATGTAATATTGATATCAAATGATTTATATTTTAGTTTAACGGGCCAACAATTAAGATTTATTTCATGATTATCTCTGCATTCTATTTCAGTAAGTATAAAAAATAATGTATAAAATAGTAAAAATATAAGTATTTTATACATATTAAATAAATTTTTAAAATATAAAAATCAATTTTTCAGATAAATTTTTAATATATATGAAAGTTATTGACATATCTAGAATACTAATAGTCTTGAATTAGCAAAGTTTTAATAATATTTAAAGGTATAATTGCACTGTAAGTAAGATTATTTACTGAACGTAACTAATTAATTTCTGTTTCAATTATGATAACATTTTTCTGGCTTTTTCAGCTTAATATATATACTCTCTTTCGTTAATTTATTTACTACTTATTGTGTACAAAATTTTATCTTATCATAAAAAGGTAACCTTGTATGTGAACAAAGTTTATGTCGCGTGTCAATATAAAGATCTTTGTTCTTAAAACTGTGAAATATTTAACTTATATTAAATAGTTTAATTAAAATATAATATTAGAAATAATTAATAATATATAATTTAATAAATTAAAAATATGAAAGGAGATGATGAAAAATCTTGTACATTTTATATTAAAATTTTATATGTGGAAAATCATATCATACTAATAAATATTATGATTCTGTTAAATTTATTACAATATCTAATAACAAAATTTTCTTTTATATAACTTAAATCATTAATATTAGTGGATAATTTTTACTAATGTAAATAATATTAATACCTATATATTCATTTAATTAATATTGTAATTGTATATATTACATATTCTGTTTCGATTAAGTAATTTTTAATAGATTACATGTATTTTTTATAAAAGATTGATTTGGTCCTATTTATCTTTATCGGTTAGAAAATAGATTTGTAAGCTCATAACCTGACCTACTTATGTACTTGAAATGACAAATATTTTTAACTATTGATTCGTTTGTGGCGACTCTCGCAGAGTAAGAAGTTGCAAAGATATAATACAGTTTTCAAGACATATACACTTTTAAGATAATTAAGATATTATCTGTTAAAGTATGTCCTTAATAATACAAAGTGCATACATGCATTAATGAGTGCATATGTATATACATATATATATATATATATATATATATTTATTTATTTATTTATGTACAAATTAATATTTTTGTTATACTATTAATAGAATTAGTGTATTTGGATAAAAATTACTTGTAAGTAAATAGGTTTTGTAAATTTAATTTGAATTTTAGAATTTCTTATTTTAGTTCGAATTTATTTTTATTCTATAGCGCTATTTCAATTAAAATTTTATTAATTATTCTAATAATAATCAATTTTCTTTACATTCTTTTCATTTTATGGATTATAAGTTTTAATTTTTTCATACTTATTAAATGCACATTTAACAATTAATTATTGATTAAACATTATTTATTCAATATTTTAATTAAGTAGAAACATAATTGATTCATCATTTCCGTTTAAATATTTAAAAATATTTTTAATGAATACATGATTAAGCATATATTTTTATTATTATTATTTATGCTTTAGTAAACAACAAGAGTTATTGATATATATATATGTTATCGATCAATTCAGGATATTTAAATTAATTTTAAGCTTCTTTGTAAAATTTAATAAATATATAAATGATGTAATTTCATACACTTTTTGAATCTGATAAAACTTCAATTCTGTGAATGTATAATTTGTATTATTCCAGTAAATTTGTAATAATAATAATTAGATTTAAAAAATTATATAGTTTCTTTTCATATTACTAAAGTTTCTCAGTCAAATTGTTAAAAAAATCCCTTATGTATTTCTTATAATTGTCTTGCTTATAATACATTTTGAATCTTAGATTATTTATGTAGAAGAATATTTAGTTAAAATCAAATTTAAAATTCAATAATTGTTAGTAAAATAAATAATTGAAATATTTTAATTTAAACATATGTTTATTTAACTTTTCGTTTTCTTATAAATGTATTTATTTCATTAAAAATTATGATAATTAAATTTTTTTTACAACTATTATATTAAGTTGTATATTTTGATATTATTTTATAGATTTTTGTTTAATTATAAATTATTACCCATGATAGTAAGTAAAAGTATTAGTAAATTAGTAAATTTGCGAAAAATATAAATCTTAGAAATATTTTAAAACTCATAAAATTAATATGTATAAACTTATGTTAAAACATTGAAAATGATATATTCAATATATACTTTATCTCTTATAATTTAATGATAAAATAAAATATAATTTATATAATATAATGTAATGTCGTTTTACTATTAATATTTTATTTTCAGTTTTAATAAATAATTGTATTTTAAATGGATTTATAGAAATTTAATAGTTTTTCAAATTTTTATTATTGAAATGTATTTATTTGGAGTTTCCAAAAAATTTCATGGTTAACTTATTAGAAAATAATACATAAAAATAACAGTTTAAGATCTTATTTTATGTGATTTAATATTTATCGTTATTTTGTAATAACTCGCATGACACAAGTAATGTTAAATATTAACAATTACAAGTCTTCTTTTTAATGCTACATTAATAGCTGCATGCAAATGAAATAACTGAATGCATATCATTAATATATTACTATAAATACAAATCTAATTGTTATTATACATACGAATAGCAATCACAGAATACCATCAAAATAGGTGTATGGATTATTATTAAGTTTTCTTTATAAAATTATTTTATTAAAACATTAATTTGTAACGTATATTTTATAATTATTCATTATATTTGATTTCAATATGATTTTTCATATAAAAACACAAATTTGTATACAAATGCATAAAAAAAAATTAGTACATATTTTTAAACGTAATTTGAATTATCAAATGTATGTGTACGTACACATATAATAATTAATATATCATCAATTCCAAATTAAAATAAGATTTGGTTTTAGACTTTGAAAAATTATAAATTTATTAGTATATTCAAATTCTCTCAAACCTATTAGATACATTTTTAAAAAAGATATATTGTTGCTCATTATTTAAAAAATTATATGAATTGATTTAAATATTATTCAGTAAACTTCATTAAAATTAGTGATTTAATTTTTAGTTTAATTTAAGTTTAGATAAATACAAATTTTTTCCTTTTGAAATGAATAAAAATGCAAACTTTTCACAAATATTGAATTTTTTATCAATATTGATTTATAAGTGCATATTCCATTTAATTATTCGTCCATAATTTAAAAATTTTGCTTTAATTAGCTTAAAGATAATAAAAAATTGTTTGTATTAAGGTTCTTTATAATAAAATATAAAACTGTCTATTGTTCTTATGATCTTGTCTCCAAATAAGAAAAATCAAAGGAAGCTTTTGACATAAAAATATATGATTAATCGATAAAATTAATAAATAATTTGCAATATTGAAAAATAGCAAATTTAACTTATATATAATATTTTTTATACCTATTAAGTAAGTAAAACTAGTATTTTGTGTTTGATTGTTTCTAATATATTATAATATTAGCCTAGAATCATCAGAATAATCAGTAATGAAATTTATGTTTCAAAAAGAGCATAAAATTTTGTTAAACAGGCACAATGCAGATAAACAAGTAGCTAAATTTTAATTTAATTTAATTTAAATATATAATATATTCAGATTGCTGCCTGTTATAAGTATCATTATTATCTTTATCATAAATATATATATATATATATATATATATATATATATATATATATATACATACATATATGTAACTTCCCTTAGAAGGCAAATAAAAATTTAGGAAAAACATATTTTCAATGATTTGTCACGTAATGTAATAATTAGCTACAAATGTTGAGCCATAATTCTTCGTTGTAGATGTCTATATTTTTTCGAAAGTCAATCTTATAATTGCTATTATACATACAAACTTAATACATAATAGTACTTTTACTTATTTATTTTTGTGATATAAATTTAAAATTTTTTCATTACCGTGACGAAAATTTATTTATTTGTTTAACAAATTCACAGTCGCATTCATGGCGTAATATGCACAAGTTATTCAAACAAAATTACAATACACGATGTTTAGAGCAATTTTTATAGTTGACATAATATATTTTATCTTTTATTGTTTTTTTAAAATTTTTATTTAGCTGTTCACAGTCGGAATTGAAGCAACTTATGTTATAGAGATACGGATAAACAGTTTTATGCTAAGTATTAAACACTAGTTAATCAATTTTAATAAAATATGTCATTTTAAATAGTCATTATTAATTTATGCTTTTTCTATTAAATTATTCATTTTCTTTATAAATTTTTATAAGCTGTTTAAATTGAAAATATTGGAATTATTAATGTATATGGGAGAATTCAAATAAAATTTCACTTTATCTTTATTACTGGGAGCAATTAAAATAATCAAATTCTTATTTTCTTAACTAATTTTAATAACTAATTGATTAAAAAATGATTTATATTATTTATTGTTACTTTTATTATGCAGTTTTATTATATATATTATAGAAATACAAGTGTCTGGTTAATTGAAAAAAATCTTATTAATTATAAAATTTTACACTTTGAATTCATAAAATAATCTTAATAATCTAACTATTATATTATTACTTAAAGAACTATAAAGTTACACTAAACTAAAAAGTTATAATAATATATAAACCTGGAACATATTTTAAAAATAATTAAATTACTTATAATAATATCTATAATGGAAAATAATCTATGCTATATATGCTGAAGGTTACTAAAAACATAGAATAACTTTTTAAAGATTGTAAATTCATTATTAATGATACGTAGTATTGTTAGCAATATCAAAGCTATAATGGAACTTTGTTAAATTAAAATTAGTTTCTTCAACTTTCTAATTAAAAAAATTTTAGTTTTTCATTTATTTTGATTGTTTATTTAATATTTTAATATCTTATTTGAATTCTAAGTTGCTATTAACTTGCTATACATTATTCGTGGTAAATTTTCAATTGTTTAAAACATTTTTCTATTGACAGTTTTTTGTTAGTGTGAAATATTTAATTGTAATCATTGTTAATTTGTGATTTTGAGAATTGGAGCACCAAGCCTTCTAGCCCTCAAAAGTTTGTAAACATTTGATAAGCATA